GATAACTTAAGAAATCAGTCATTAATTTTGACGTTTTTGCAGAGGAGATCTTAGTCTTGCAATTTTACATTTAACTAAGATGTTTGTTGCAGTACTTCTCAATGCTAAAAATGTGCATGAAAACGAATCGTCTCTCGTTGAATGACAACAGAGACTTTATTGAAGAATACCGATTGTTGACCAATCACTGACGAAGGGGCGTAGACTTGTGTGCCCTCACCAAAGTCCAAAACGAACAAAGACGTCACAAAATGTCATCATAATATATGCACAAACTCTTGTGAACTGTTCGGGTGGGAAGCATGCGGACACCTAAAGAACTGATCTTAGGTCAGTTTTGTGTTTGGCCTCATAATGCGTAGGGGTAAGATTAGGGCACTGGTAAGGTATTCCTCAAAGGACTTAGAACTTCCCTAACGCATAGCCTACTATTCAAACAGAGAGAGCCTGAGGTGAGGAAAGCGAGTCTGAGTACCAGTCTGTCTAGCTATCATTCCACTCCTGTCATGTTAAACAGCTTGGGCATGACACGGAGTACAATGAGTGGAATGTGAGCTAAACTGACTGGTACCCGGGCTACAGAAAAGCTGCTGTTTGTATTGTGGTTCGGTAAAGTTTGTCTTGTATTTTGGCTCCGTAAAGTTTGGCTGTATTTTGGCTCTGTAAAATGTGCATGTATTTTGGCTTTGTAAAGTGTGCATATTTTTTGGCTCAGTGAAGTTTGTAGTGTATTTTGGATCAGTGAAATTTGCTGTGTATGTTGTCTCAGTGAAGTTAATATTTCTAAGGAAGGAGGCGAAGAGTAACAGTCTAGACTCAATTCCTGATAAGGCAGGCCAGTTTCTGTAGAAATAGGACAAGGAGGGATGTGGAACTCAACTCGATAAGGTCAACAGTTGAAGAGAGAAGAAACCTCTGGGAGGGGGGCCAGAGGACTTAGGCAGGCTTGACAATACCAGTAAGAGGAACAGACTGAGTTCCTGCCTAGCAACAGAGAAGGATTGTTTATCTTAAACATGCAAGGAGATGACTCCGCCTAGTCAGAAGGTACAGTGGGGAGAACAAGTATTTGATACACTGCCGATTTTGCAGGTTTTCCTACTTACAAAGCATGTAGAGGTCTGTAATTTTTATCATAGGTACACTTCAACTGTGAGAGACTGAATCGAAAACAAAAATCCAGAAAATCACATTGTATGATTTTTAAGTAATTAATTTGCATTTTATTGCATGACATAAGTATTTGATCACCTACCAACCAGTAAGAATTCCGTCTCTCACAGACATGTTAGTTTTTCTTTAAGAAGCCCTCCTGTTCTCCACTCATTACCTGTATTAACTGCACCTGTTTGAACTCGTTACCTGTATAAAAGACACCTGTCCACACACTCAATCAAACAGACTCCAACCTCTCCACAATGGCCAAGACCAGAGAGCTGTGTAAGGACATCAGGGATAAAATTGTAGACATTTACATTTACATTTTAGTCATTTAGCAGACGCTCTTATCCAGAGCGACTTACACAAGCAATTAGGGTTAAGTGACTTGCTTAAGGGCACATCGACAGATTTTTCACCTAGTCGGCTCGGGGATTAGAACCAGCGACCTTTCGGTTACTGGCACAACGCTCTTACCCACCTGCACAAGGCTGGGATGGGCTACAGGACAATAGGCAAGCAGCTTGGTGAGAAGGCAACAACTGTTGGCGCAATTATTAGAAAATGGAAGAAGTTCAAGATGACGGTCAATCACCCTCGGTCTGGGGCTCCATGCAAGATCTCACCTCGTGGGGCATCAATGATCATGAGGAAGGTGAGGGATCAGCCCAGAACTACACGGCAGGACCTGGTCAATGACCTGAAGAGAGCTGGGACCACAGTCTCAAAGAAAACCATTAGTAACACACTACGCCGTCATGGATTAAAATCCTGCAGGGCACGCAAGGTCCCCCTGCTCAAGCCAGCGCATTTCCAGGCCCATCTGAAGTTTGCCAATGACCATCTGGATGATCCAGAGGAGGAATGGGAGAAGGTCATGTGGTCTGATGAGACAAAAATAGAGCTTTTTGGTCTCGCCGTGTTTGGGGGAAGAAGAAGGATGAGTACAACCCCAAGAACACCATCCCAACCGTGAAGCATGGAGGTGGAAACATCATTCTTTGGGGATGCTTTTCTGCAAAGGGGACAGGACAACTGCACCGTATTGAGGGGAGGATGGATGGGGCCATGTATCACGAGATCTTGGCCAATAACCTCCTTCCCTCAGTAAGAGCATTGAAGATGGGTCGTGGCTGGGTCTTCCAGCATGACAACGACCCGAAACACACAGCCAAGGCAACTAAGGAGTGGCTCCGTAAGAAGCATCTCAAGGTCCTGGAGTGGCCTAGCCAGTCTCCAGACCTGAACCCAATAGAAAATCTTTGGAGGGAGCTGAAAGTCCGAATTGTCCAGCGACAGCCCCGAAACCTGAAGGATCTGGAGAAGGTCTGTATGGAGGAGTGGGCCAAAATCCCTGCTGCAGTGTGTGCAAACCTGGTCAAGACCTACAGGAAACGTATGATCTCTGTAATTGCGAACAAAGGTTTCTGTACCAAATATTAAGTTCTGCTTTTCTGATGTATCAAATACTTATGTCATGCAATAAAATGCAAATTAATTACTTAAAAATCATACAATGTGATTTTCTGGATTTTTGTTTTAGATTCCGTCTCTCACAGTTGAAGTGTACATATGATAACAAATTACAGACCTCTACATGCTTTGTAAGTAGGAAAACCTGCAAAATCGGCAGTGTATCAAATACTTGTTCTCCCCACTGTATAAATATGTGCTTGTCTGACTTGTACAGTGCCTTGCAAAAGTATTCATCCCCCTTGGCGTTTTTCCTATTTTGTTGCATTACAACCTGTAATTTAAAATTGATTTTTATTTGGATTTCATGTAATGGACATACAAAGTCCAAATTGGTGAAGTGAAATGAAAAAAATAACTTGTTTCAAAAAATTCTCAAAAATAAATAACGGAAAAGTGGTGCGTGCATATGTATTCACCCCTTTGCTATGAAGCCCCTAAAAAAGATCTGGTGCAACCAATTACCATCAGAAGTCACATAATTAGTTAGATTGCACACAGGTGGACTTTATTTAAGTGTCACATGATCTCAGTATATATACACCTGTTCTGAAAGGCCCCAGAGTCTGCAACACCACTAAGCAAGAGGCACCACCAAGCAAGCGGCACCATGAAGACCAAGGAGCTCTCCAAACAGGTCAGGGACAAAGTTGTGGAGAAGTACAGATCAGGGTTGGGTTATAAAAAATATCAAAGACTTTGAACATCCCACGGAGCACCATAAATCCATTATTAAAAAAATGAAAGAATATGGCACCACAACAAACCTGCCAAGAGAGGGCCGCCCACCAAAACTCACGGACCAGGCAAGGAGGGCATTAATCAGAGAGGCAACAAAGAGACCAAAGATAACCCTGAAGGAGCTGCAAAGCTCCACAGCGGAGATTGGAGTATCTGTCCATAGGACCACTTTAAGCCGTACACTCCACAGAGCTGGGCTTTACAGAAGAGTAGCCAGAAAAAAGCCATTGCTTAAAGAAAAAAGAAGCAAACACGTTTGGTGTTCGCCAAAAGGCATGTGGGAGACTCCCCAAACATATTGAAGAATGTACTCTGGTCAGAAGAGACTAAAATTGAGCTTTTTGGCCATCAAGGAAAATGCTATGTCTGGCGAAACCCAACACCTCTCATCACCCCGAGAACACCATCCCCACAGTGAAAAATGGTGGGGGCAGCATCATGCTATGGGGATGTTTTTCATCGGCAGGGACTGGGAAACTGGTCAGAATTGAAGGAATGATGGATGGTGCTAAATACAGGGAAATTCTTGAGGGAAACCTGTTTCAGTCTCCCAGAGACTTGAGACTTGGACGGAGGTTCACCTTCCAGCAGGACAATGACCTTAAGTATACTGCTAAAGCAACACTTGGGTGGTTTAAGGGGAAACATTTAAATGTCTTGGAATGGCCTAGTCAAAGCCCAGACCTCAATCCAATTGAGAATCTGTGGTATGACTTAAAGATTGCTGTACACCAGCAGAACCCATCCAACTTGAAGGAGCTGGAGCAGTTTTGCCTTGAAGAATGGGCAAAAATCCCAGTGGCTAGATGTGCCAAGCTTATAGAGACATACCTCAGGAGACTTGCAGCTGTAATTGCTGCAAAAGGTGGCTCTACAAAGTATTGACTTTGGGGGGTGAATAGTAATGCACGCTCAAGTTTTCTCTTTTTGTGTCTAATTTCTTGTTTGTTTCACCCCAAAAAATATTTTGCATCTTCAAAGTGGTAGGCATGTTGTGTAAATCAAATGATACAAACCCCACAAAAATCCATTTTAATTCCAGGTTGTAAGGCAACAAAATAGGAAAAATGCCAAGGGGGGTGAATACTTTAGCAAGCCACTGTATGTTGTGCTTGCACCTGAGGCACCCAGTGGGTTGAATAAACTTGGTTTGAGCTTTTTCTAGTTGTCAGTTTCTGAGTTTTTACCTTGTTTATTCAGAACCTAACACTAGCCAAACATCAGACAGTTTTACAAGTCCACTGCATATGAATTATTGAGTGGTGGTGTATGCATTTTTTAAAACCCAATGGTGCAACTGGACACCCATCCAGAGTAGTGATGGTTACTGCTACACAAACACACAGAATAGTGGTCTATAGTCTGTGACAGTATTATCTAAACAGTCTCTGACTGTTGAAGACCCAACTTCAACCTGCTCCATCAACGTTATTCAGGACATATTGAGTGTATAGGGATTGTAGAACTGTTCTAGGGAGCATAGAACCATATAGGGACCGTTGGAACCGTTTTAGGGAGCATAAAATTGCATAGGGACCACTTTAGGGAGCATAGAACCGTACATGGATTGTTAGAACCATTGTAGGGACCATAGAAACATATAGGGAGCATAGTAGAACCTAAACACTATGGCCAGGATGACTATGGTGGACCAGTCGAGGCTGCTGACGATGCAGCTAACAGCCATGCAGACCATGAGAATGCTCATAGTGGAGAAGGTTAGGCCGGTAAAGCATGGAGGAAACACTATTTAAACCACAACCGGTATTTCAGTTGACTATCTAGGTTAATCATCTCTTCATTATTTTTATTTTTTTCTCAGGGCGAAAAAAACAATGGATTTGATGTTCTCTACCACAACATGAAGAATGGTCAAATCTCTTCCAAGGAACTTACAGAGTTCATCAGAGAAAGGTAAGTTGTTGGTAGCCTGGTTCTGGATCTGTTTGTGCTGTGTCATGTGCTAACTATTATGGTTGTAACCAGGCTATGTCATTTGGGTTTTCCTTAGTTAAACTTCCACTCGCCCTTGTTTTGAGGCTTTAACCCAATGCTGTTCTCATCATAGAGGTGAATTCAAATCTCAACACAATTTTTCTAGTTAACCTTAAAGTTGACAGTCCGTTAAAGGTCATGCACAGTCAAATTGGGTCATGTGTTGAGGATGCCCGGTGAAAGTACAATCAATAAAGTGACAACTGCTGGCTCATTGGTAAAGCCCAATGTGAAAATGCCTTGCTTCCTCCTCTGTCAAAATAATGAGTTCAGGGGGAGCATCCTATTGGCCGAACGAGCCACGTCACCCGTTCATAAATGTGCATACACTAGGGTTGGGCGGTATCCAGATTTTCATACTGTCCTTCTCTCATCCCGGGATTTACGGTATTACTGGCTTAGTACATAAGGGGCGCCCCAAAAAAGCCCATTGAGCGTCTATTACCAGAATGCTAAAAAAGCACAAGTTATAGTGAATTTCCATGGAGGCTGCTAGCTAAATATGCTAATGACACAAATGAAAAGAAACAAATTGCAAAGACAGGCAATCCAGCTCATAAAGTTATATGTATATGGGTAGGAGCTACCGAATGTCATTTTTGGTGAGTTTTGACATTTACAAGCAAATGTGAATGATAGACATTGTGCAAATGAAAAAGGTTTTGAAACATGCTCGTCAGAAGGAAGAACAGTAGCCTATGGCTCTGGAGCAGCATCTGTGCACGCTGTGTCTGTGTGTAGTCGCTAGGGCAACTTGCTTGCCTGCTCTGCTCAGAGATGAGGAGAAGACTGGCCGAGAACGGAGAGGAGAAAAAACGCAAGGAAATCAAAGATGGCATCTGTACAAATAACTTATCCAAAGGGCTTTGACTTCTCAAACACTGCAGAAAGCTAACACGATATGATGCCACGTCACCTTATTAATTCAGCCACTTACTTAGATAACTAGCAAGTTAAACTTAGGGGTCACGTTAATGCAGAATTCTTCATTTTTCACGCAGGAAAAAAAGATACGCCAATTTCTTATGCGTTTTATCTTGCTGCGTTTTTATAAATGCAGATCTAAAATGCTTTTTATTGTAATTTCTGCTCGGCATCAGACTCACTTTGTGTTTCAGTTGCACGTCTCTACTCGGATGAGAATGAACAGGCATTCTATCAGCAGACAGCTCTGACTGATGTGGAGCTACTTTTCTACGGTACTTTTCTCGGTGTAGCCGGCCTACTTTCCTCAGTGAAATGCAAGACTAACTAAGCAAAACATTATGAAATGTACCTGGCTACATTCTTTCTATGATAAACATAAGAAATATGATGGCCATCCATCGTTTTAGCAAAAAATACCTGTAAACGCATTCACTTGTATGGCTGCTAGCCTAATAGCGTTGCACTTCTGTTATTTTCTATCGAATGTGTTGCACTAATGTATTTTCTGTGAAGGAAAACTATAGTTGCACGTCCCTGATCACTCTGTTGAAGCAAAAAACCAAACAGTGGAATTTTAATATAAAACGCGACCCCTGTCAATACACAGCTGGACTAACCTGCTCCCGCTTTCTCCTGTTGTACTATTTACTAACAAACATGTGACTGACTCAACTGTTCTGGGGAACTATGGTAAGCTTCATAATGTGACTGGTGTAATGAAAAACGCGATCTGCTTTATTTCCTAACGTATTGCACAAGTTGGCTGCAGGTATTTACTTAAAAAGTAGCTTCAAATATGACAATTTATTGAAAAACTTCAAATAAATAGTTTCAATGGTATTGACGGTATTGAAAAACCATCCCGTGGCTATTTCCAAATATACAGTGCATTCGGAAAGTAATCAGACCCTTTCACTTTTTCCACATTTTGTTACATTACAGCTTTATTCTAAAATGGATTAAATCGTTTTTTCCCCTCATTAATCTACACATGATTCCCCATAATGACAAAGCAAAAACAGGTTTTTAGAAATTTTTGCAAATGTATTACAAATAAAAAACTATCACATTTACATACGTAAGTATTCAGACACTTTACTCAGTACTTTGTTGAAGCACCTTTGGCAGTGATTACAGCATAGTCTTCTTTGGTATGACGCTACAAGCTTGGCACACTTGTATTTGAGGAGTTTCTCCCATTCTTCTCTGCAGATCCTCTCATGCTCTGTCAGGTTGGATGGGGAGCGTCGCTGCACAGCTATTTTCAGGTCTCTCCAGAGATTTTAGATAGGGTTCAAGTCCGGTCTCTGGCTGGGCCACTCAAGGACATTCTGAGACTTGTCCCGAAGCTGTCTTGGCTGTGTGCTTAGGGTCGTTGTCCTGTTGGAAGGTGAACCTTCGCCCCAGTCTGAGGTCCTGAGTGCTCTGGAGCAGGCTTTCATCAAGGATCTCTTTGTACTTTGCTCCGTTCATCTTTCCCTTGATCCTGACTAGTCTCCCAGTCCATGCCGCTGAAAAACATCCCCACAGCATGATGCTGCCACCACCATGCTTCACCGTAGAGATGTTATTGGCCAGGTGATGACCGGTGCCTGGTTTCCTCCAGACGTGACGCTTGGCATTCAAGCCAAAGAGTTCAATCTTGGTTTCATCAGACCAGAGAATCTTGTTTCTCATGGTCTGAGAGTCCTTTAGGTGCCTTTTGGCAAACTCCAAGCGGGCTGTCATGTGCCTTTTACTGAGGAGTGGCTTCCGTCTGGCCGCTCTACCATAAAGGTCTGATTGGTGGAGTGCTGCAGAGATGGTTGTCCTTCTGGAAGGTTCTCCCATCTCCACAGAGGAACTCTGGAACTCTGTCAGGGTTGTTGGTCACCTCCGTGACCAAGGCCCTTCTCCCCCGATTGTTCAGTTTGGCCGGGCGGCCAGCTCTAGGAAGAGTCTTGGTGGTTCCAAACTTCTTCCGTTTAAGAATGATGGAGGTCACTGTGTTCTTGGGGACCTTCAATGCTGCAGAAATGTTTTGGTACCCTTCCCCAGATCTGGGCCTCGACACAATCCTGTCTCTGAGCTCTACGGACAATTTCTTCGACCACATGGCTTGGTTTTTGCTCTGACATGCACTGTCAACTGTGGGACCTTATATAGACAGGTGTGTGCCTTTCCAAATCATGTCCAATCAATTGAATTTACCACAGGTGAACTCCAATCAAGGTGTAGAAACATCTCAAGGATGATCAATGGAAACAGGATGCACCTGACCTCAATTTCGAGTCTCATAGCAAAGGGTGTGAATACGTATGTAAATACAGTATTTCTGTTTTTAATTTTTAATACATTTGCAAAATTTGTCTTTATGGGGTATTGTGTGTAGATTGAGGCATATTATTAAAAAAAATTATTTTTTTTTGAATAAGGCTGTAACGTTACAAAATTTGGAGAAAGTGAAGGGGTCTGAATACTTTCCGAATGCACTGTACCGTATAATACGGTATACCGCCCAAGGCTAGCATACACCAATGGGAATCCTTCTTTGCCTACCAGTCAATGGTCTCCCACGGCATAGGGGTTGGCTCACTGTCTTCCGTGCCGATAAGTGTTGCCAATTTAGTCACTTTGTTGCTATATTAAGAACGTTTCCAGACCGCTCCAGGGACTTTTATTGGTAAAAGAGTCTAGTGACAAATTCTGCTACTTTTCAGGCTGCCTTTGGGGAGTTTTGCCACCTAACTTTTCTGTGGTTTTAATAGCATTTAGCGACTTTTCCCACTCAATTTTGCTGCAAATAAAGAGTGGGAGAAGCTGTTTGTGTAACAGAAGTCACAGCAACGGCGCACACACAGGCTGAGAAGCACAAGGGGAGGGGTGTGCTGCGGGAGAGGGGGCGTAAACGCTATATAGCTCTCTGAGTTATACGTTTATGAGGATACAGTATCTGTTCTATAACTGATTGATCTGTTTGCTCTTCTCAGCTATAATGTCACTTAGCAAGCTAGTTACAGTAGCACTCACAGCTAGCATTGATGTTAGCTAAGCTCGCAGATAGCTAGCTTAGCTAACATACCTAGCACACCTAGAGTTGACGATAGGAAGGCTACATCCAGACGTTGTCAGTACGTGCTTATAAGATACATAAGTTAGTTATTAAGTTATTTACCATTCCAGTAGCCGTTGGAGTGAATTAATTTATTACATTACATTTTTGTGTCAAATCGCCAGTTGGCAACCCATCCCTTATGGGATTAATTGACACATAAACAAACATTACAATAATTCAGTGATAATTCTTCCAAATCATGAGTGAATGTTACATTTGATCTATTTGTCGATCTCAATTTTTTTAATTTAACCATTATTTAACTAGGCAAGTCAGTTAAGAACAAATTCTTATTTACAATGACAAGCATACTGATAGTCACAGATGAGAGAGTGTTCATTTTAATAGTGAAAATAATATTATGGGTGATGTTTTGGTTACTCTGGGAAATAGGATGACTGTGCATTCCCTTTAAGAAAACATGTCTGGTATGCACCCATGACTCTAAGTCGCTTTGGATAAAAGTTTCTGCTAAATGGCATATATTAGTTTACTACTTCAGTTTAGTCTGGATCTCTCAGTGCAGGTGTAATTTTCTAGTCTTCCGGTTCAATGGTTATGCAAATGTAGTGTTATTTTCCGTTTACTTTAGTTATTTGCTATTCAGAGCCTGACCCAAATCTAAATAGCTAACTTGAGATTCTCACACATTTCCCATTGACACTAATAGATCATTTACACACACAGGTTTCTTTAGCCAAAGTCTTTATAGAAACTCTTTTCTCTCTGCCTTTTCTCATCAATCACATTTACCTACATGTTACTTTTCAATCGGAATCAAATTACATTATCAAGTCAATCAATCACTTGAAGAATTGTGTGACTAGGGTTATACTACCTATTTGCTATAGAGGGAGCCTGTGTTGTAGTCAATCAATTACTTGAATTATATTTAGGTTAGTACGAAAGGCTGTGGAGAAAGGAGATTAATATCGAAGTACAGTATTTCATATCACCCAGGAGCAATCACAGTTTGATTAATCCAACCTAAGGAAATACAGTCCTCTTTTAGCTCTCCTTAACAGAGAGAATTAGCTGTGGAAGGAGCATGTGGTGTAGCCTACTCTCCCAGGCTTAGGCCTGATTAGGCCACCTGCACACCTGAACACTCCATGGACTGTGAAACACTGGCAGTGAACTGCATACCTGTAGCCTCTCAACCATAATAAGAGCTTAATCATACCTCCTTTAGAATTCCTCTCACGCCTTGAGATGTCTTTCATTGTGTTTGAGGTCTATTTTTATAACCTTGTCTGCTCAAGGTCTCCTGTTGGAATTCAGGCTGGGCTGGCCCACTCAAAAATGTGCTCATCACTCAAACAGACACCGCATTTATTACACTATGTATTGCCACAGACCATAAATATTAGGCTACCACAGAAACCGTCAAGTTTCCACAGCTTGCGGTTTGCTTTGACACTGTGGGTAGGGAAGCTCCTGTTAGTGGAGGCGTAGACTTGCCCTATACAGTCTTATGTCCAGTCTGTGGTGTAGATTTACATTTTTACATTTACATTTTAATCATTTAGCAGACGCTCTTATCCAAAGCGACTTAGTTAGTGAGTGCATACATTTTTCATACTGGAATAGATGGGTCACAGGTAGCTTACTAGCCTACATCTCAGGTTTAGGCCTATATCGTTACTGTTCTGTGTAACTGAGACTCAACCTGCACACCTACCTACCCATCAGAATCAGTGTTGACATGTGATCCCATGGGTTTCTGTGTTCCTTTTGAGGAAGTCTCACACATCTCAGAAACACTGTGTTGTGGCTCCCTCTGGTGGCCTGAAAAAGACCATGCACCTACAGTACTGTACCATGTGTAAAGTTATATAGGCCTACTATGACACACAGACAATATTCGTCCTGCAGGTAGTTGTTCACTAGCATCTATATAAGTCAAAGATAAATGGATTTGAGAGGCATTTGGTCTGTAACATTGAATCTGTGAGTGTTTGAGTGTGGAGTGGAGGGGTGCAGGCAGGTCTGTGTGTTAGGAGGGGAGAGCGGTCTTAGCCCAGAGTGTATTTACACACCTGGAGTGCCTTTATTCTCTGTGGAGTTATGGCATTTTCTCTGTGTGTGTGTTTGTGTGTGTGTGTGAATGAGTTCAGGGGGAGCAGCCTATTGGCCGAACGAGCCACGTCACCCTTTTCATAAATGTGTATACACCAATGGGAATCCTTCTTTGCCCACCAATCCCTGGTCTCCCACGGAATAGGGGTGTGCATGTGCCTTGAGTTGTGGTTTGGGAACTGGACCACGTCATTTTCCTGTGAAAAGGATGGAGATAAGGATGACAAACCACGGTAACCTGCCATGGTAACCTGTCAAGAAGAACTTATACAAACCTTTGGTAGAGTTCCAGTGCATCTAGGCTAAGTTACACTGATATCTGTTAGTAAAGGGAGATGGAAGCCATGTGTACATGTAACTTGGCATGCGTGTTTGTCAGAATGCTGTGTGTGTGTGCGTGTGAATGTGTGCTTGCCTCTGGTTGTCCCTGCCTGACCCTCCTCTTCTCCTCCTGTGGTGACCTGACTGCAGTGGGAGGCTAAGTAAATCATACATGCATTATTCAGGCCTCCACTAAAACAATGTTTTAAGTTTGTACTTCTGTCACTTCCATGTAGGAGAATGGGGGGATGATGAGGGAGGGAGAGAAGGAAGAGAGGGAGGAAAGGAGGGGAGGGATGGGAAGCTCTCTCCTCTCTGTGCTTCGACATGACACTAAATAAATGGGAGACCGTGATGAACAAAGCTCACTACTAGATGAACCACACTTGGTTGGGCTTTGCTTTGACTAACACTCAACTTTGTGCCTGCAGTCAAACATTTATGTCCCTAGTGTTTGTGAGTGTTTGGTGGGTGTGGAGTTGTCTTGTGCTTTGACTTACATGTCTAGTACTTGTTGTAATCACTCAATGGAACTCCTTACAACCGGTAGATGATTTGAGGGCTTTTAGTACTGTGTTGATCGATTTTATAATGGTTGAACTGATTCAGTAGAGTAAGGTTGAATCACAAATGGCCCTATGGGCCCTAGTCAAAAGTAGTGGAATAGAGTGTCATTAGAAATGCATACTGAGTGATGTTACTGTAGGTTCAGTAGGTAAAAATGATTAAGGTAATGACGTTATGTGCTTTGTCCCTCTAGGGCTACCATAGAAGAGGTCTATGCCAGGTCAATGACCAAACTTGCCAAGTCAGCTGGCAACTTCTCTCAGCTCGGGTAAGACACACACGCTCGCGCGTCAGGTGAAGAGAGATACGTTTGTGTCCCATATCAACCCTCCCTATTTAATGGTAAGACAAGTCTTCCCTGAATGAATGCTCTACTGAACACACTCCAGTTAATAAAGTGTGTCTGTCTGTGTGCTGCAGGACGTTTGCCCCGGTGTGGGATGTGTTTAAGACGTCCACAGAGAAGCTGGCCAGCTGCCACCTAGAGCTGGTGAGGAAGCTACAAGAGCTTATCAAAGATGTGCAGAAGTACGTGGACGACCAGGCCAAGGCCCACAAAAAGGTGCATGACGGAGAACCGAACGCGACACCACACATCACATAGTTTCCTTATAACAAGCGCAGACCTACAAACAGTACGGCAGGTAGAATCACACAACACAACATACCGCTTTGTTCCTTTAGGCATGACATTTCAGTCATTTAGCAGACCCTCTTATCCAGAGCGACTTACAGGAGCAATTAGGGTTAAGTGCTTTGCTCAAGGGCACATCGACAGATTTTTCACCTAGTCAGCTCGGGGATTCGAACCAGCGTCATTTCGGTTACTGGCCCAACGCTCTAAACCGCTAAGCTACCTGCTGCGTCAACTAGTCTGTCCTTGCTGGTGTCTTTGCTCTGTCTGCCTGTGTAGGCTGCTGCTGGTGACAACCTATGTTTACCCTCTGGAGACCAGTAAAGCTCACTTATTTCAGTCACTGCTATGGGGAAGAGTTTCAGAAGAGTTATTCTACTGATAGTCTGGAGAGAATGTTTGTGTTCTCTGTCCTGCCTGGAGTAACCACCGGAGTGTCACCTCCTATGGCATGTATGTGCCAGCAGGTCTAATTAATCAAACACTGCCTGTGAATTAGCAGAGTTGGGTTTGAGCTTTCAGCATAACTAAACAGGCTGTCCCACAACACTGTCACACACACACAGAATGTCAAGTTGCCATTTTAGCTAAACTACTTTCTACCGTTTTAATGATCTTTGCTTCCATTAAGTGGTTTCAATCATGGACTTTTCAAACAAGGACACTAAAATGAATGTGTTTGAAGTGTTTCAATGGTTGCTGTCTTCCTCTGTCCTGCTCAGACCAAGGAGGAGGTGGCGTCCACACTGGAGGCCGTCCAGACCATCCAGACCACTGGGGTAGCCTTACAGAAGTCCAAGGAGAACTATAACGCCAAAACTGTGGAGCAGGAGAGACTCCGCAAGGAGGGAGCCACACAGCGAGATGTGGACAAGGTACTGTACACTAGACTTACTGTAAGAACACCAGACTAAACTATACTAGGTGACACATGAAAACAGATGGCCATTTTCCTGTTGTCTGTCTGTCTCTGATCTCTGCAGGCTGGAGTGAAGGCCAAGAAAGCCACGGAAACCTACAAGGGCTTTGTGGAAAAATACGCCACAGCCAAGTCCGAGTTTGAACAGAAGATGGCTGAAACTGCACAGGTGTGTATTTGTGTGTGGGTATTCCATCCACTTCCTAGTACCACAGGACAATGTGTTTGTGTGTGGGTATTCCATCCACTTTCTAGTACCACAGGACGATGTGTTTGTGTGGGTTTCTTGTTTTTGTGTGTGGTGTACTCTACTCTAGTATGTGCTTTGTGTGCATGTTTTAAGGCTCTTGGGTGTGTGTGTGTGCGTGCGTGTGTGTGTGTGTGTGTGTGTGTGTGCGTGTGTGTGCGTGTCTACCGCTCAGTATTCCGTGCTGTGTGTGTTCTTTGCTCTGCATCGTCTCAGCTTGTGTTATTTCCTCACTAACGGAATCATTGTGGAAAACTCTGATTGGAACCATCTGAACGACTGATTAGATAAACTCCAAATTCAAATCAGACAACAGTATTTTACCCTCCTTATCCTGCACTGCAGCGAGCCACACGGCCAAACTGGTTTGAGTTAGGGCAGCGTTTCTGTTTTCCCTCCGAGACAACAGCAGGGCAGCTCTGCTTCCTAAGATCAGTCAATGGCTCCTCTCAAATTCAGCACATGAGTTCTAAACACGGCACAGGCACACATGTCTTCTGTGACATCACTTGTGTGTGTTTCAAGTTTGTGTATCTGTCTGACTGTCTGTCTGACTGTCTGACTGTCTGTGTAACTGTCTGTCTGACTGTCTGTAAGCTGATGTGAACGCTGGGGTTTAAGCAAGTGTGCTCGCCTGTGAATGTACTCTGTGTGTCATGTGTTTGAGTGTGTACACTAGCTGTGGTAGTGTTTGCTGGAGCAATCATGGATGTGTGTGTGTAAGAGATTGCCTATATCCATGTTAATGAGGTCAGGTACACTCATCTTCCCTCTCTATCCACGCTGTGATTTTCCAGCTTATGATTATTTATAGTCCTTCTCCTCGGTTTACCCCAAACTCTCCCCAGTCAGAGCCAGCCCTGGATGGGAGTAAACACCATCGTTTAGAGCCCAGACACACACACACACACAGACCGCTCCAGAGCCCAGAGATGAGCCCCGCTCTGTGTATCTCATGGCTGGCCCGCCCTGGATAATTAGCACCTTGTGCTGCAGTGGGATCTGTGTGTTGGTGTGCCTTCGTTTCTAGACCACCCAAATAGAGACGACACACACAGGAAGGAAGTGGCTAGGGCACAAAGAAGAAGTGTTTCTCTTTTAGGGAAATGTATACATGTGTTTTTATCAATCCAAGAGTAATCTTTCTGCCCAGTGTTTCTCCTACATTGGACACGGTGCATATGTTCTGTTGTACACATTGGACTCTTTGAAATCTTAACCCATGATAGAGGCCAGAGGTTTCCTGACCTGGCCTGACCAGAAACTCTTTGTCCTAGTTCAATATATTACAGCTAGTGCCCAGAGTTGTTCCTGATCAGGTCACATCAGGTCAGGGAAAACTCCAGGTCCTAAATCTTCTACTGCCATATTTGTTTTGCCCAGGTTTAGTGTCTCCTCAGTGGAGATGTATAATGTGCTGCATATTTACTCCTGTATGTTTTCTCTCTGTGTTCCAGAAATTTCAGGACATCGAGGAGAGCCACATCGTCCACATGAAGGATATCATTCAGTCATACACACAATCTGTTGACGAGACACACGTTCAGATCGGAGAGGTGAGTCGGCACACACACACTGCACGAATGCGCACGCTCACACGATCACGCACGCACACACACACATTCCTGTGGGTGGGGTGAGGCGGGGCGTGTGTCCTGTCCCAGTGCTCAGTGGGTTCACTGTGTCAGATTAATTAGTGTAGTCTTTGATCACTCTAATAGTTTCACTGAGAACCAGGAAGTCTTCCATTCAGCTGTTTATAGCAACCAATTAAAAACTGATCAAAACTCCCTCTCGACCAATTGAAAACACCTTCAACATACAAGCAGAGGCACGGCATGCCAACTGTACTAGGCATCTCTCTCTGTGTGGATATGTTACTGGACTTTACTGTGGTCTACTGTACATAACTCAATTATTGATAATTCCACTTCCATCATTATATTATCACAATTTTTTTATCTCAAATATTGTTCTGTCATAGATATTGTTCTGTCATAGATATTGTTCTGTCATAGATATTGTTCTGTCATAGATATTGTTCTGTTATAGATATTCTAGATGTTTTACTACTTGACGGAATAGACAACTGAAAAGAAACTCCGCTCCACTCTGTGGAGTGGCCTGTGCTGCTGCAGTCCCATTAGTGTCCACAGGGGGCACCAAAGCCCCACTCTCTGCCCTAAAGCTCCAGTGTTACCATGCATCTGAACAGGAGAAAGACAACACGGCCTGTCTATGTCTCAAAGGGTACCCTATTTCCTATAATATCATCTGGTTTTGACCAGGGCCCATATAGGGAATCTATATAGGGAATAGGGTACCAGTTGGGACACAGCCTATGTTTCTGTGTTAGGCTGGCTGGGCTTAATTAAAATAGAGCCTGAAGGTGGGTGAGTGCTCTCCCAAACAGCTGGCAAAGTATGCGCAGGCAGCACAAGTAATTGGGATTCTGTGATGAATACCCTTTAAGAGGTGGGATCAGAGGGAGGGAGGGAGGGAGGGAGGGAGGGAGGGAGACTGGCCACTCCAATCGTGCAAGATACTGCTTCATCAGTTAGACCACAGACACGCAAACTCATCCCAGACATGCAAACACACACACAGTACACTTACTTTACCAGCACTATAGACAAACAAATATACACGCTGTCAATATACTGTACACACGCCGACATTGCACTGTACACACACACGGTCACTTAAAATAATCCATATTGTCCAAACACATCAACACACTTAAATCTGACTATTCATACTGTCTATTCACAAACAGACACACACACACTCGTTCACATACACACAAACATTGACACACACACACACATTATCCGGCCAGGCGAACACACTGTCTACCGACACGCACACACAGCCCCAGTTTGGCTATTGGGCTCGCTGGCTAGCCTACATTTTTAAGTGTAGTTTCATGTTAACCAGGGACTGGGCCTTGGGCTGGGCCTAGGGTCTAAACAGTGGCGTGGCAGTCTGCATGGCTCCGCCATTATCTAGTTAGCCTAGCCCTATTCTCTCTAGTGTTCTCCCTGCTCTAGTCTGGACATGAATGGAAACCTCTAAAGCATGAGGGAGAAGGAGGAGAGGACATTTAGGGATAGAGGGACTGCATGGGAGTGAGGGAAGAGAACAAGAGGTATAGAGAGACTGCATGGGAGTGAGGGAAGAGAACAAGAGGTATAGAGAGACTGCATGGGAGTGAGGGAAGAGAACAAGAGGTATAGAGAGACTGCATGGGAGTGAGGGAAGAGAACAAGAGGTATAGAGAGACTGCGTGGGGGAGACGGGAGGAGGGCGGGAAAAGAGAGCGAAGCGAGAAAGATGAGGGAAGACGGGGAGGAAGATGAGAGGAGGAAAATAGGACGGAAAGGAGGGAGGGAGAATGGTTTGGAGAGGAGGGGGTGAAGATTGGGGAAGAGGGAGGGGGATGGTTGGAGAGGAGGGGGTTGGAGAGGGGAAAGAGGGAGGGGGATTGTTTGGGGGGGGGAGGGTGGAGAGGGGGGTGGTGGAGATGGGGAAGGCTGGGTAGGGGCGAGGGGGTGGAGGTGGGGGGGGGTGGCAGTTTGTGGGGGGTGGCCGGGGGAGGGGGGGCCGGGTTGGCGGGGGTGGGTGGGGGGGGGCCGGGGTAGGCGCGGTTGTGAACGCGGGGGTGGCGCGGGGCTTGGGGGTTGGAGGGGGTTGAAGGGAGGGGTGGAGCGGTTTGGGGCGCGGGAGCCCGGGGGGGAGGTTGGGGAGGGGTGGGGTGGGCGGGAAAGGGGGTGGCGAGGTTTGAGGGGGGGCGTTGGATGGGGGGGGGGGGTGGTGCGGGTTGGAGGAGAGGCGGGGCGGGGGGTGGAGAGGGTTGAAAGAGGCGGGGGTGGGCGGGGCCCGAGCGGGCGGGGGTGGCGGAGGGGGGCGGGTGGAGGAGGGTGAAAGAGGCGGGGGTGGGGGGGGGCGGGGGGGTGGCGCGGGGAAAGAGGAGGGGGTGGAGAGGGTTGAAAGAGGAGGGGGTGGGGGTTGGCGAGGGGTGGAGGGGGGAGCGGAGGGGGTGGGAGGGGAAAAGGGAGGGGTGGGGGGGGGCCCGGGTGGAGAGGGGGGCGGGAGGGGAGAAAGTAAAGAGACTGCATGTAGCCAAGAGAGGTCATCTAAATACATTATGCTCTGAGAGGAGATTGTGGTCCTCTGTAGCTCAGTTGGTAGAGCATGGCGCTTGCAACGCCAGGGTAGTGGGTTTGATTCCGGGACCACCCTTACATACAAAATGTGGATTAAAGCATCTGCTAAATGGCATATATTATTATATTATATTTATATATTAGAATGTAGACAATTTAACTCAAAGTAATATTTGGTACTACTTCATTACTACTGTGTGTTTATTCTGGTTCATATTTTTACAACAATTTGCCTGCATGCTGTGCAGAGAGTCACTGCAGGTGTGTGTGTACAGTGAGGGGAAAAAAGTATTTGATCCCCTGCTGATTTTGTACGTTTGCTCACTGACAAAGAAATTATCAGTCTATAATTTTAATGGTAGGTTTATTTGAACAGTGAGAGACAGAATAACAACAAAAAAATCCAGAAAAACGCATGTCACAAATGTTATAAATTGATTTGCATTTTAAATTAGGGAAATAAGTACTTGACCCCTCTGCAAAACATGACTTAGTACTTGGTGGCAAAACCCACAATCACAGAGGTCAGACGTTTCTTGTAGTTGGCCACCAGGTTTGCACACATCTCAGGAGGGATTTTGTCCCACTCCTCTTTGCAGATCTTCTCCAAGTCATTAAGGTTTCGAGGCTGACGTTTGGCAACTCGAACCTTCAGCTCCCTCCACAGATTTTCTATGGGATTAAGGTATGTAAACTGGCTAGGACACTCCAGGACCTTAATGTGCTTCTTCTTGAGCCACTCCTTTGTTGCCTTGGCCGTGTGTTTTGGGTCATTGTCATGCTGGAATACCCATCCATGACCCATTTTCAATGCCCTGGCTGAGGGAAGGAGGTTCTCACCCAAGATTTGACGGTACATGGCCCCGTCCATCGTCCCTTTGATGCGGTGAAGTTGTCCTGTCCCCTTAGCAGAAAAACACCCCCAAAGCATAATGTTTCCACCTCCATTTTTGACGGTGGGGATGGTGTTCTTGGGGTCATAGGCAGCATTCCTCCTCCTCCAAACACTGCGAGTTGAGTTGATGCCAAAGAGCTCCATTTTGGTCTCATCAACACTTTCACCCAGTTCTCCTCTGAATCATTCAGATGTTCATTGGCAAACTTCAGACTTTTATATAGGTAACAATCTGAGATTAGGAGCACTCCCTTTAAGAGTGTGCTCCTAATCTCAGCTCGTTACCTGTATAAAAGACACCTGGGAGCCAGAAATATTTCTGATTGAGAGGGGGTCAAATACTTATTTCCCTAATTTAAAATGCAAATCAATTTATAACATTTTTGACATGCGTTTTTCTGGATTTTGTTGTTATTCTGTCTCTCACTGTTCAAATAAACCTACCAAATAATAGACTGATCATTTCTTTGTCAGTGGGCAAACGTAAAAAATCAGCAGGGGATCAAATACTTTTTTCCCTCACTGTATATATAGTGTGTGTGTGTGTTTTGGAGGGCAGGTGTGTTTGGTGTGCGTGCAATGTTTGTATTTGTAAGCGAGCATTTGTGTGTGAGAGAGGTACCCTTGAGCTGATGTGCTTTTTTGTGCATCTGTGAAAAATCACAGTGAGTTGGAGGAGGGGCGATGGTGTGTGTCTGTCAGGGTGTGTTTGAGACATGCAGGCAGGTGATGACGTCACAGCATGTTCCCTCACGGCAGCAGGATACAGCAAGTGGCTGGCTGGCTGCAGCACCTGACAGATTGCGTGTGCTGGAGTGAGCATTCTACCTCGCCACGGCAACCCACGCCCAACCCCCATCCCCTCGCGAGGGTGCAGGGGGCTAATGCACTCTGCCTTGCTGGAGGGGTCGGGGGGGGGGTCCACGGTGTGTGTGTTCATGGTGTGTGTGTGTTCATGATAGTGAGTGGACATACGCTGTTGTGTTTACAGTATCACGCACATCTGAATCATTTGGCGAGATGGCACAGCCAGTCAGTCCATGTTCGTCATCTATCTTGTCCTTCTCTCCGACAGACAGACACACACACACTCTGACACACACGCCACTAACATCCAAAGTAAACAAACAAACACCATCCTTCCCGTGATAGCACCCAGAGGGCATCAGGAGACCGCTCTGTCTACAACAATAAACCATACCATTATGTAAGCCAGTCTCCACATGCCTTAGAGACACATTGTGCAGAGAATAGTTTTAAACAACGGAGAGAGAGAAGCAAATGCTGGGTAGTCCAGTCCTCTAGAGGGAGTATTGTAGTACAGTAGTAGTCCAGTCCTTTAGAGGGAGTATTGTAGTACAGTAGTAGTCCAGTCCTTTAGAGGGAGTATTGTAGTACAGTAGTAGTCTAGTCCTTTAGAGGGAGTATTGTAGTACAGTAGTAGTCCAGTCCTTTAGAGGGAGTATTGTAGTACAGTAGTAGTCCAGTCCTTTAGAGGGAGTATTGTAGTACAGTAATAGTCCAGTCCTTTAGAGGGAGTATTGTAGTACAGTAGTAGTCCAGTCCTTTAGAGGGAGTATTGTAGTACAGTAGTAGTCCAGTCCTTTAGAGGGAGTATTGTAGTACAGTAGTAGTCTAGTCCTTTAGAGGGAGTATTGTAGTACAGTAGTAGTCCAGTCCTTTAGAGGGAGTATTGTAGTACAGTAGTAGTCCAGTCCTTTAGAGGGAGTATTGTAGTACAGTAATAGTCCAGTCCTTTAGAGGGAGTATTGTAGTACAGTAGTAGTCCAGTCCTTTAGAGGGAGTATTGTAGTACAGTAGTAGTCCAGTCCTTTAGAGGGAGTATTGTAGTACAGTAGTAGTCCAGTCCTTTAGAGGGAGTATTGTAGTACAGTAGTAGTCCAGTCCTTTAGAGGGACTATTGTAGTACAGTAGCAGTCCAGTCCTTTAGAGGGAGTATTGTAGTACAGTAGTAGTCCAGTCCTTTAAAGGGAGTATTGTAGTACAGTAGTAGTCCAGTCCTTTAGAGGGAGTATTGTAGTACAGTAGTAGTCCAGTCCTTTAGAGGGAGTATTGTAGTACAGTAGTAGTCCAGTCCTTTAGAGGGAGTATTGTAGTACAGTAGTAGTCCAGTCCTTTAGAGGGACTATTGTAGTACAGTAGTAGTCCAGTCCTTTAGAGGGACTATTGTAGTACAGTAGTAGTCCAGTCCTTTAGAGGGAGTATTGTAGTACAGTAGTAGTCCAGTCCTTTAGAGGGAGTATTGTAGTACAGTAGTAGTCCAGTCCTTTAGAGGGAGTATTGTAGTACAGTAGCAGTCCAGTCCTTTAGAGGGAGTATTGTAGTACAGTAGCAGTCCAGTCCTTTAGAGGGAGTATTGTAGTACAGTAGTAGTCCAGTCCTTTAGAGGGAGTATTGTAGTACAGTAGTAGTCCAGTCCTTTAGAGGGAGTATTGTAGTACAGTAGTAGTCCAGTCCTTTAGAGGGAGTATTGTAGTACAGTAGCAGTCCAGTCCTTTAGAGGGAGTATTGTAGTACAGTAGTAGTCCAGTCCTTTAGAGGGAGTATTGTAGTACAGTAGTAGTCCAGTCCTTTAGAGGGAGTATTGTAGTACAGTAGTAGTCCAGTCCTTTAGAGGGACTATTGTAGTACAGTAGTAGTCCAGTCCTTTAGAGGGAGTATTGTAGTACAGTAGTAGTCCAGTCCTTTAGAGGGAGTATTGTAGTACAGTAGTAGTCCAGTCCTTTAGAGGGACTATTGTAGTACAGTAGTAGTCCAGTCCTTTAGAGGGAGTATTGTAGTACAGTAGTAGTCCAGTCCTTTAGAGGGAGTATTGTAGTACAGTAGTAGTCCAGTCCTTTAGAGGGAGTATTGTAGTACAGTAGTAGTCCAGTCCTTTAGAGGGAGTATTGTAGTACAGTAGCAGTCCAGTCCTTTAGAGGGAGTATTGTAGTACAGTAGCAGTCCAGTCCTTTAGAGGGAGTATTGTAGTACAGTAGTAGTCCAGTCCTTTAGAGGGAGTATTGTAGTACAGTAGTAGTCCAGTCCTTTAGAGGGAGTATTGTAGTACAGTAGTAGTCCAGTCCTTTAGAGGGAGTATTGTAGTACAGTAGCAGTCCAGTCCTTTAGAGGGAGTATTGTAGTACAGTAGCAGTCCAGTCCTTTAGAGGGAGTATACAGTGAAAAGCACAGAACCATATTGTATTTATCAATCCGCCTGAGCATTCTAAAAATGAGGCACCCAGAGAGCAGTCCCCCAGGACATGAGCTGTCACTCTCACAAGCTATCTCACACACACACAAACACACACACACACTGCCCCATGTTTTAATCACAGCAGTACCTCCCAGTGGTACTACCACAGAGTGAGCCCTCAATGGACTCAATGACCGTCCAGCAGCTCAGCCCAGCGACTGTCAGGCTAGCCCACAGCCCCAGAGAGAGGGGAGAGGGCCCTAGGAGCACCAGTTCAAGTGTGTCTGATTCCAAGTGTCTGCCACTCTACCTTCAGTTCTTATTTCTTGTATTAATGTAGGCTAATCCATTCTGATGCCTCACTGTACTGATGCCAGACCTGGGTCAAATACGCCAGAATACTTGAGCTGCACTTGATTTACAGCAGTTTGCCCTGTACAATGGAACCAATGGAATAGTCCCAAAAGTGCAACTCCAAATTAAACGAAGCGCACCTCTTGACCCTGTGTGTTTGTTGTTGTCCCTCTGCAGGTCCATACAGAGTTTGAAAGGAACATGGAGAACACCTCTGTGGAGGGCTTGATACAGAAACTCGCTGACAGTAAAGGAACGGGCAAAGAGAGACCAGGTAATATTCCCCATACGCACAGACACACCTGCCATGATAGCCTAAACACGTATACAGATCAATGTATTACAAATATGTTGGTGTGTATGAGTGGTGAAGCATTTCAGTGGTTAGCGGCAACTTATGTAATTGTCCTACTCCTTCAATATGCCTGACTCTGACTGTAGATCAGTGGTTACTTAGGCTAACTTCTACAGTATACCTACTCCTTCAACGTGGCTGAATCTGACCCTGTATCAGTGGTTACTTAGGCGCAACTTCCTTCAAAGTGACTTCCTGTCTTTAAGATGGAGACAGGCCTATGAGAGAGAGTTAGCCAATGAGAGAGCAGTAATGAGAGGTGATAGAAGGCCATCAGACTCAATAGCTGTAATCTGCTGTAAAGGTAGGCAGGTCAGGCCAGACATTCAAGTTAGCATGTGACACAATGCAGACCAGCACAGGGGCCAGGGAGGCTTTGCTTTACGCACACACACACACACACACTCTGCTGTGTTTAGGCTGCAGACTAAACTAAGCAGCCGGAACCAAGCTCTTTTGGGGATCAGGAACTCAACAATGACTCTTGTGTAAGCTATGACATGCTACAGTAATCAAGGGAAATCTGACAATATAATGTTATCCATTGTGGCTTTCCCAGGGGCTTGCACCCCATCACATCAGGTAGGCGACACAAAGGGCCTGACTTGGGGTGTGTTTGTGTGTATACAAACGGTGACCCCTGACCCCTGTGTCCAGATGGGGCGTCCGAGCAGCGCCGGCCTTCATTTGTTTTGACAGCAGAATTAATTGAGGGCTGAAAACAGTTGTAGAATTCCTCCCCGTATCAAGCTGTTCATTAGAGATCGCACCGCGGTCTAGGCCCTGTCAGAAAAATAACCTGCCTGTCCCTTGATGAAATAGCTGAACGGATGGCCGATCCTGTGCCTTTAGAGAGAGAGAGAGGTTGAATAAACTTTCTACCACGGAAACAATCTCAAAGTGACACGCTGCTAGGCGAGGGGGGGGGGGGGTTCGTAGTGTTCACCGATATCCAGCTGAGCTGTCAACTGGCGGCGAGCCAGACACGCAAACCCCTCCGCCCCTCTCCCTCCCTCTTTCCCGCTCCGAGCTCCATGTGAAGCATATGCAATTTTAAAAACCATCCTCCGCTCATGCGTGACTGCATGCTTCCCTCACAGAGAGAGAGTGACAGAGAGGAATAAGATAAAAGAAACATCTACCTCTACATAAACAAAGTCGTCTGTCTGTTTATGACATTTTTAAACAGATCCTAATGGGCCTGTGCAGATTTAGGTAAGATTGGCGTGTCTGGTGTAGGTTGTTTTGCTGTAGTCGGTGTGAGTAAATATTGTCAGATGTAGGATGCTGTCGGCGAAAGGTTCCTGCTCTGTTTATGCTTTATTTTTCGGTAAGTTTTGGTCAGTCATGTGGAGGAGCCTAAGTATAGTCTTTAGACATTATTATTCAAATATGTTTTTTATTATTATTCTCTTAGAATTGGTGATTATGGGTGTTTGGCAACGCCAGCAACTGTTGATTACTTTAGGAGGTTATGGATCCCTCTTCACTTAGTAAATGGAACTGCTTGTTGTCAACACTGTGGATTAGGGATGGAGCAGCGGATAGGTCTCTCTCTCGTGAACTAGTTCTTGGATGAGCGTGGCGTTTGTTTTGATTGGAACGGAACACGCAGTCACATCAGTGTGGGTTCACCGGCGGTGAAGAGCTAACAGGAGAGGGCCTGATATTGCACAGGAGAGTAGATTGGTGTACTTTATCCATGTCACTTGGCGTGATGCGTGCCTCTCATGACTTACCACTTCCCTGAGCTTCTCCAAGAGCTGTGCATGTCGAATAATGCGTCAATTTTGCCCATAACTGACATTCCCTGGGGAAGGCAGCATCGAACCGCTGTTGCCATATACATTGGACTAAAATATAATTAGCTTTGTTTTTTCAGGTCAAGATATTTTAGTGCCATGGAAATGAAATCTTGCCCGAGGCTGGCCTCCCCTCTCTTCTCTCCCTCCTTGGTCTGCCATAGGCTATTAAATGCAGACGTCGTGTCCTGGTCGTGCATTAGCTTTTAAGAAGATAAATGCTCAAAAGGGAACATGGAACGGATCGGTGTTGTGATGAGTAGGCTGTGTATTCACAGAACCCCTAGTTTGCTCTATCAACAGACAAAATAGATAACATAATTAACAGAATAATATTTATTCCATATATTATAGACTATACCACTCTAACCTTGTGTTCATATTAGTTAATGTATTTATTATTAATTGATTATTGCTCTAATTTTACATTTTTTTATTAAAACAAAGTAAAAGTCACCATTTCACACTCATCATCTTACTATCTCTGCTTATGATAAACCATAAGACAATAGCTTTTCAAACCGTTGACTTGCATCATTGCGCTAAAATCATATGGGGCCATCCATATACTAAGAGTCCCCCATTGCAGTACATTGATTGACACGCATATTCATCCTGAGTTGTTCTTGGTTTTTCCCACAGCTTTTTAAATAGGGTGCTCATGTGTGTGTTCATGTGTGTGTGTTGGCGTGTATGTTCGCGTGTGTGATAATACATATCCAACCCAATGAAAACCCCCTCGTTAATGTTTTCTCGACACGCTCTGGAAGCGTGGCATTCCAAGTGCAAGAGCTCGGAGGTAAATATGTATAATTGATGAACATTAAATTAAGCGTGATCTTTGTTGTTTTTCTTCGTTGTTGAAAAAAAAAAATGTATGTATATAGAATTGTTATTCTTGTGAAAATCAGCATATGGTTCGGCTCCAAATTAGATCAAGGTCATTCCTCCCAGCAGATTTGGCGATTTCTTGTTTTTAAAACATATCTATTTATTTAATTATGCATTATCATTGGGTTGGTAAGATTTTATTTTATTTCACCTTTATTTAACCAGGTAAGCCAGTTGAGAACAAGTTCTCATTTACAACTGTGACCTGGCCAAGATAAAGCAAAGCAGTGCGATTAAAAATAACAACAACACAGAGTTACATATGGAATAAAACAAAACATAAAGTCAGTAACACAATAGAAAATCTATATACAGTGTGTGCAAATGTAGTAAGTTATGGAGGTAAGGCAATAAATACAGCACTACAAATGGCCATAGTGCAAAATAATTACAATTTAGTATTAACACTGGGGTGATAGATGTGCAGAAGAAGATGTGCAAATAGAGATACTGGGGTGCAAATGAGGAAAATAAATAACAATATGGGGATGAGGTAGTTGGGTGGGCTAATTACAGATGGGCTGTGTACATGTGCAGTGATCGGTAAGCTGCTCTGACAACTGATGCTTAAAGTTAGTGAGGGAGATAAGTGTCTCCAGCTTCAGAGATTTTTGCAGTTCGTTCCAGTCATTAGCAGCAGAGAACTGGAAGGAATGGCGGCCAAAGGACGTGTTGGCTTTGGGGATGACCAGTGAGATACAGTTTTACGAGGGCATGTTTAGCAGCATGAGTGAAGGAGGCTTTGTTGCGAAATAGGAAGCCGATTCTAGATTTAACTTTGGATTGGAGATGCTTAATGTGAGTCTGAAAGGAGAGTTTACGGTCTAACCAGACACCTAGGTATTTGTAGTTGTCCACATATTCTAAGTCAGACCCGCCGAGAGTAGTGATTCTAGTCGGGCAGGCGGGTGCAAGCAGCGTTCGATTGAAGAGCATGCATTTAGTTTTACTAGCGTTTAAGAGCAGTTGGAGGCCACGGAAGGAGTGTTGTATGGCATTGAACCTCGTTTGGAAGTTTGTTAACACTGTGTCCAATGAAGGGCCAGATGTATACAAAATGGTGTCGTCTGCGTAGAGGTGGATCTGAGAGTCACCAGCAGCAAGAGCGACATCATTGATATACACCGAGAATAGAGTCGGCCCGAGAATTGAACCCTGTGGCACCCCCATAGAGACTGCCAGAGGTCCAGACAACAGGACCTCCGATTTGACACATTGAACTCTATCTGAGAAGTAGTTGGTGAACCAGACGAGGCAGTCATTTGAGAAACCAAAGCTATTTAGTCTGCCAATAAGAATGCGGTGATTGACAGAGTCGAAGAGAGCTGGCAGAGCTGGTGGCCGGGGTAGAGGTAGCCAGGTGGAAAGCATGGCCAGCCGTAGCAAAATGCTTATTGAAATTCTCGATTATCGTAGATTTATCGGTGGTGACAGTGTTTCCTAGCCTCAGTGCAGTGGGCAGCTGGGAGGAGGTGCTCTTATTCTCCATGGACTTTACAGTGTCCCAAAACTTTTTGGACTTAGTGCTACAGGATGCAAATTTCTGTTTGAAAAAGCTAGCCTTTGCTTTCCTAACTGATTGTGTATATTGGTTCCTGACTTCCCTGAAAAGTTGCATGTCGCGGGGGCTGTTCGATGCTAATGCAGTACGCCACAGGATGTTTTTGTGCTGGTCAAGGGCAGTCAAGTCTGGGGTGAACCAGGGGCTATATCTGTTCTTAGTTCTGAATTTTTTGAATGGGGAGAGGAAAGCACTTTTAAAGAACAACTAGGCATCCTCTACTGATGGAATGAGGTCAATATCCATCCAGGATACCTGTGCCAGGTCAATTAGAAAGGCCTGCTCGCTGAAGTGTTTTAGGGAGCGTTTGACAGTGATGAGGGGTGGTCGTTTGACCGCGGACCCATTACGGACGCAGGCAATGAGGCAGTGATCGCTGAGATCCTGGTTGAAGACAGCGGAGGTGTATTTAGAGGGTAAATTAGTCAGGATGATATCTATGAGGGTGCCCATGTGTACAGATTTAGGGTTGTACCTGGTAGGTTCGTTGATAATTTGTGTGAGATTGTTGGCATCTAGTTTAGATTGTAGGACGGCCGGGGTGTTAAGCATATCCCAGTTTAGGTCACCAAGCAGTACGAACACTGAGGATAGATGGGGGGCAATCAATTCACATATGGTGTCCAGGGCACAGCTGGGGGCTGAGGGGGGTCTGTAGCAAGCGGCAACAGTGGTATACTTATTTCTGGAGAGGTGGATTTTTAGAAGTAGAAGCTCAAACTGTTTGGGCACAGACCTGGATAGTATGATAGAGCTCTGCAGGCTATCTCTACAGTAGATTGCAACTCCGCCCCCTTTGGCAGTTCTATCTAGACGGAAAATGTTGTAGTTGGGGATGGACATTTCAGAGTTTTTGGTGGTCTTCTTAAGCCAGGATTCAGACACTGCTAGAACATCAGGGTTGGCGGAGTGTGCTAACGCAGTGAGTAACTCAAACTTAGGGAGTAGGCTTCTGATGTTAACATGCAAAAAACCAAGGCTTTTACGGTTACAGAAGTCAACAAATGATAGCGCCTGGGGAGTAGGAGTGATACTGGGGGCTACAGGGCCTGGATTAACCTCTACATCACCAGAGGAACAGAGGAGGAGTAGAATAAGGATACGGCTAAAGGCTTTAAGAACTGTTCTTCTAGTGCGTTGGATACAGAGAATAAAAGGAGCAGATTTCCGGGCGTTGTAGAATAGATTCAGGGCATTATGTACAGACAAGGATATGGAAGGATATGAGTACAGTGGAGGTACACCAAAGCATTGGGTAACGATGAAAGAGATAGCATCACTGGAGGCACCAATTGAGCCGGTCTCCGCGTGTATGGGGGGTGGGACAAAGGAGCTCACTGAGGCTGGTTGAGCAGGACTGGGGGTTCTACAGTGAAATTATATAATAAGAACTAACAGGAACAGCAATAGGCAAGGCATATTGACATGGGGAGAGAGGCATAAAGCAATCACAGGTGTTAATTCGAGAGAGCTAAGACAACAACTGGTAATAGCACCAGCTCACAAGCTCTGTGTGTTTACTCAGAGTGTGTGTAGTGTAGCCTAGTGCGTGTGCGTGTGCGTGTGTTTGTGCATGCGTGCCGCCTTATGAGCCATTCTGTGTATACTAAAGGGCAGGTCAGGTTAGTGGGTTCCGTCTGTCCACCTGGCATAATTTGAATTCCAGGTGTTATTTTAATTGATTGGTTGTTTTAGAGCAGTTTGGTCTCTGTTGTGCAGGTTTACAGTAGGCCTATGTAGTACTTAAATTCTGTCTTAGAGATCTGTGTGTGTCCATGAGAAAGTGTATTGCTGTGTGTGTGAGAGAGAAAGTGACTGAGGAATAGTGTGTGTGTGTGTAGCATGCTGTAGTGTGTGTGTGTGTGTGTAGCATGCTGTAGTGTGTGTGTGTGTGTAGCATGCTGTAGTGTGTGTGTGTGTGTAGCATGCTGTAGTGTCTGTGCGTGTGTAGCATGATGTAGTGTCTGTGTATGTGTCCATGAGTGCTATGAATTTGCAGTGCTGTATGTTTTCCCCTGGTTCAGGATAGAGAGTCACATGCTGATGGCTACCAGACTCTGTGTTGATTCTGCCATTGACCCTGTCTGCCCTCTGGAATCAGCATGGACCATTTAGTTTATTGTGTGTGTGTGCCAAGCTGGACGCTCTGTTCCTACCAAGCCGTGTGTGTGTTTGTGTGAGAGTGTGCTTGTTGGTGTGTGTTCGCACTCACACGTGCATGCGTGCCAAATGAACCTAAATGAGCGTTTTCTGTCTTTTCAGGTCCTATTGAGTTTGAAGAATGCAACACTGCCATCGCCACTGAAGGTAAGTCACACACACAGACACACACACACACACACACACACGTGTGCTTGTGCCCTACTTTTCTATAGTTTATTCCCTCCTCAAAAAAAAAAAAAAAACATAGTGTGAAATTTCATAAAAGTCAGACTTGATCTTTTTCACGCCTAAATGTGTGGGAACATTTTAAGTCTAAATGTTTTAAGTTATCTGGCCACTTCTCCAAAAAAATGTATGAGTGTTTCACAAGGTTATTGATTTATCCGATTTTTCTTTTTGGTTTGGAGTTGTCATATTTGTCTGATAAAATAGATTTCTTCAATCAGACATTTCTCACGCACTCCTTGGGTTTGTTACTAGGAGCCAAACCCAGAAAGAGGAAAACATTTGCGATCCCAGGCCGCCGGAAAGACAACAAGGACACAGACTCCACGTGTGTAGCTTCTACTTTTAAACTTGCTTTATAAAGGGTTTAGAAGTAGTTTATAAACTGTTAATTTAATTATTTACTTTCCACTGCCTGGAACTAATTTATGATGGCTTAGTGAACAGTCTCTAAATTCTGTTTCAAATTATCCAAGATTAGTATAAATCATGTTTAGTTTTATTAGGGTTGTCATGATGATAAATATTCATTCAGCTTCATTGGACTGAATTATAAAAAACTATTTTTTAACCAAGAATATTAAATGAGTCTGAAATGTAACGTTGTTTCTTTTGGCGGGTCTCAGGGAGTCGACAGAAGTTGAACCTGCTGTGAGTATATTTCCAGTTACATACTCTCAAATTGAATTTATTCATTTAATACTGTGATGTGAATCCCAATTTTGTGAATTATAGTATTTCAATTACTATTGTCAAGTAGAAGTTGTAAAAATAATTGAATTAGTTGGACAGTTATACAGTAGGAGAATGTAATAATAGTAGTAACTGAATTGTCTCAATCACTTCATTCTCTAAAGTAAAACAGTATGGGATCTAAACTGCCATATTTCCTTTCCTATATATAACCATAGTAGAGCTTGCTGCGCGCGAAGAGAGAGCATATATATATAGAGAGATATATATATCGAGATATGCGAGAGATAGAGATGAGCAGAGAGAGATAGAGGAGGAGATAGAGAGAGAAGAAGAGAGAGAGAAGATAGAGAGAGAGAAGAGAGCGATAGGAGAGAGAGCGCGAATCGAGAGCTAGCTAGCTCTATATCGAGAGATAGAAGAGCGATAGAGAGAGATGCATGCTCTCTCTCTCTCTAGCTCTATATCTCTAGCGCTATCTATATAGACTCGCTGATCTCTCTTCCTCTCTCTCTCTCTCTCTCCTCTCTCTCTCTCTCCTCTCTCTGCTCTCTCGCTCTCTCGCTCTCTCGCTCTCTCGCTCTCTCGCTCTGTTCTGGGCTGTAGAACAATGCCAATGGAGCTCCTCCTGGATACTATGGCACCATAGACTTCCAGAACGCTGTGAGACACACATAAACACACACACAAACACACACAGCAGGAATTGCTTAAGTGCATTACTAAGTGGTGCATTGCTGTTGTTGTGTGTGTTCTAGAATGTCCCCACGGTTGATGAAGATGGCTTCTGTATCAGACCGGAAGACCGCAACGAAAATGATATCCTTCCTCAATACTCACACTTTTACACTGTTAAAAACCTTCAACATTCTTCTTATCATTCCTTAATCTGCTAGGATTTATTCAATTATTTTTCTGTCATTGTGACGTCCTCTGTTGGCCTTGTTACCATATTGCCATACTGTATAGCCACTAACCTGGCGTGGTGTTATGATCCGTTCCGCTTCCTTAACCCGTGTGTTCCACATGCCAAAGAGAACTCATTCTATTCATCGAGTGACTCGGAGGATGAGGATGAACCCAGGAAGTTCCGCGTGGAAATCAAACCGGTGGCGCCCAACAACAGGACGCAACAAAGCCGAGCTACCATCGACCAACTCAAGGCCTCCATTGGAAACATCAGCCTGTCACCACCAACCTCTGTACGTCAACTCAGTACAACATTTGATAGAAACCTGTTGCACAACAATTCTGTCAGAGATTGCCAGAGATTCCACACACATATTGTAGAGTAGACAGGCACACAAACATTCTATTTATTTATCGATCTTGTCTCATCGCTGCAACTCCCCAATGGGCTTGGGAGAGGCGAAGGTGGAGTCATGCGTCCTCCGAAACATAACCCGCCTAACCGCGCTCCTTAACACCCGCCAGCTTAACCCGGAAGCCAGCCGCACCAATGTGTCGGAGGAAACACTGTTCAACAACACACAAACTTTCTGATCAATATATCAATCAATAATTCCTCACCTCCCACCCTGTTGAAGGAGTCCTCAACACGTGTTTCTTGGATACACATTGGATACTTGGATACACACTTGGATAAGGTTCAAATCCTCTGTCCTACAACGTTAAGATAGAAAGTTGCACATACAGCACTACCGTTACCACTGAAATAATTCTCTAAGCATGTAGAAAGAGATTTTAACATTCTGATGTATTCTGTCTCTAAATCCCACCTAACTCCATAAGATGTTTCCTCTGTAAACATCAGCTACACCCATTCACTAACCTACTCTACTGTCTCTCTGTTTGCTGAGGGGCATTTCCCCCTGTCTGTCTGTCTGTCTGTCCCATCTCTCTAACACTAGAGGGCAACAGTACATTGTATTTCCCCTGTAAGAGCTGGGAATGGGTACTTAGTCATAAAGCCTTCTGCCAGAAACATTAGACAGTATCATACATATTTGAAATACTTTTTTGCTTTATTCTGTTATTTTGCCTGTTTGGACCATTGTCTCAACTCTCTAAGATGAGTCACTGTGGACAGTAGGAGTGAGTGAGCTCATTCAAAAAGTCCAGTTGTGAGTTTTTCTTTAAAGATTGAAATCTCCATGCATGAGTCATAATCGCCTACTGTCTGGGCTCCCGAGTGGCGCAGCGGTCTAAGGCACTGCATCTCAGTGCTTGAGGCGTCACTACAGACCCTGGTTCGATTCCAGGCTGTATCACAACCGGCCGTGATTGGGAGTCCCATAGGGCGGCGCACAATTGGCCCAGCGTCGTCCGGGTTTGGCCGGTGTAGGCCGTCATTGTAAATAAGAATTTGTTCTTAACTGACTTGCCTAGTTAAATAAAGGTAAAATGAATAATAATAATTTAATCATTTTAGTTTTTCCTGTGTTTGACCGGTAGGGTAAGAAAGTATCACAAATTGTTTTCACTTTTGATCACTTGTTTTCTCTCTTGCTTTACTTTAACACCACTGTTGGGACAGGTGGAATGGCCTTGTCTCTGGAACAGTCTTTTTAAAAGCTGTGGTACCACTGCTTTACAGTTAGTTGCATGGCGTTGCAGTAGAATCTGTAGTCACACACCACTTCTCCCTGCCGTCACGTAATGGGATGGGATGGCATGCACAGACTGTCAGAGCTTCCCGCAGGCAGGGCCTGACCTTTATGCCTGGAGTTGACCTCTCATTCAACTTTGACTGACTGACTGACTGGCCATATCATCTCTAAATCTCTGAGCCGCTCTCTCTGTCTGCCTGCTCAGGGTGGAAATAGCGACTGCCATTAAACTTTAAAACACTAGTGTGTGTGTGAACAGTCAGTGTGCTGATTCGGAAGGAGGTCGTGTGAGCTCCCCCATTTCTGCTAGAGGAGTCCTACCGCTCTCTAAACGACCCTTGGGAGAGAGGGTGAGAGAGGGTGAATGAGAAAATGATAAAGAAAGAGATTCCGTGACAGTCGTTTAGAGAGCGGTAGGACTCCTCTAGCAGAAATGGGGGAGCTCACACGACCTCCTTCCGAATCAGCACGCTGAGTGTTCACACACACACACACACTTTATATCTCTCTCTATTGGTATTTTGCTCTCTCTTGTTTTATTAGGGTCATTTTGTTGCTTGATTTGGACATTACTTGTATGTGATTCTTTATGGGGGTTAGTCTCCCATTCATTTGACAAAGTGTGTAGAAATGTTTTTCCAGATATGTTTTAAATGAGCATGATTCAGCTAACTGTTTGTTTTAAACGGAATGAATCAACTTTGACGAGAATTCCTACGTTTATGGAGAATTTCTTTGTTATTTTTGAAGCATTAAGAAGGTTCTTGAGGAAAAACATTCTCTGGCTTTTTTAAGGCCTGAAGATTGGACTTGGTTCATTACAAATGAGTTTTTGCTCGACAGCAGGACTTAACATTTCAAGTATTTTCTCAGTCCAACGACAAACAACAGCAACCTACTGTTTGTCTTTTTTTCTATTTTGACTTTTACCTAAATACTGGAATATTCCCTCCATGTTTTCTTTTATTGCTCCCACTTTCAAATCTGAAGTATATTTTTTTCCCCCCACCTTAATGTTGACAGAAATGTTCTGTGCTGAATGTTCTCGAGTTAAAAGATCTAGGCGATGATGAACGTTGCATCAATTTCTTGCTATTTGTCTTTCTCCTTCTCAGTTCCCTTCTGTGCTGTCTGCTGTTTGTTCCTTTATTGAAACAGCAGTGGAAGCCGGAATGGTTTATGTGTGACTGTGTGTGTGTGGAGATCTGTAGTGTGTGTGTGGCGGGCTACAGCCGTAATTGAACCCATTTGCTGCTCAGTGCCTGTGGGACTAAACCCTGGCTTCACAGGGCCACGGCACTTTGACGCTTTGGATGCCTCCCTCTAAACCCCTTCTGTTCCTCTTCTCCTTCTTTTCCCCTGTCCTTGTCTTTTTCAGTGTGTGAATAAAGGCTTTATTGGAATTGATGGTCTTAGTTTCCATTGGGTCACACAGAAGTACATCAGGTTTTCTGTTGGTCGCCTTGAAGAAACTGATATGTCTCTCTGTTAGTGAATATCTCTCTCGCTCTCTCTCTCTTTCTCGTACCTGATTGATGGTAGTGCGGGGTTAGATACTGTGTCCTGTCTGTACTGTGCAGCTGCATTTTTCACCCTAGGTTTAATGTCTGGTATGTGTCTGAGAAGCTTAATCCTGTGATTTACTGTCTCTTTAAAACTGATGTGGAAAAAGCCTCCCCTCCACAGGGAATAGTTAATAATACGCTTTTCAACTTTTCCATGTATCAATTATATTTTAAATGTTCGGGACAGTTTTTTGGTATTGTGAGTACCGTACCGCCACCTGATAAATATAGCCTGTATTGTGCATATCTCTGTTTTTATTGTGTTATTCAGAAAGTAAGTTATTACGCAAGTGTTGATTCTTAAAGAGTAACACATTGAGGAACTTTGAGCTGTCATCTTAAGTAGGTGTAGTTTGAGATACTGTGTACAGGCAGAAGTTAATTGACCCTGCACTACTGAAGATAAGTCCTAGATAAAACCTACGGCATGTCTGAAAATCACCTACTGTCTGTTATAATAAGACATCTAATTACTGACAAGCACATTCCAGATACAACCATGTTTTATATACATACTGTATTTACTTTTTTCTGATGTTCAGTTTGTCTTTGTACAGTAAAAAGTATGTTCTGGGATTGCTAGGGAGTCTTTTTGTGGAGGATGAGGGCTGAAGTTCAGTGTGTGTGTGTGTGTCTTATCCTAGCTGTAGTTAATGAATGTGTGTTTCTATTCTCAGGGTCAGATGCGAAGGAACCAATCCAGTGAGTATTTTATTTGACCTTCTCTTCTCCTCTGTGTGATGTTTGATGGCTGCAACCATTTTTGACTTTTCACCTTCATTTTTCTTGCCTCGGGTCGTTCTTAAAAACAAATCCTAGCAACCTTGCCAAAACCAACATATCCCCAGCTAAAGTAAATGTAGTTTGTTTTTTATATGTGTGTATCTAAGCTCTGAGGAAGATGAATTGCTTAATTGCTTGTTTTTATTTTGCGTGTCAGAAATGATATTTGACCTCCTGCGTTTTGACTACAATTTGTATATTTTGCTATGTTTGATTTTCTGCTTGGACAAATTAATTAATTATCTATAAAGGAATGCAACAACTCACATAACTGTCTCAAACTGTGAACTATTAGTGGGGGTTGGCAAGTAAACCATGAAGAAATAAATATATAAAAAATATATTAAGTAGTATTATACACAGTTTAAATAACATCACTTTATTATCCTTTGATATTCATATTTCCATCATATCAAGTTATAGTTTAAAAGTATTTCATCCATTTGATAGAGTTAAGTCTGATAATGCAACTTTTTGATAGAGTTTAAGGCTGACGCTATGTATATTTGGTAGAGTTAAGTGATTCATAGCCATGTATTCAACACATGCTCAGGGTTGTCAGGAATGCATTCCCACTCAGCGATAGGCTCTCAGGTGCTAGGTGAGTACTATAAGTACCTCTAGTCAGTCTGACCCCCCCCCCCCCCCCCCCCCCCCCCACCACCACCACCACACCCCATAAACATGCCATGCCAAGTAGTCCTCCATACCCCCACCTCAGTTCCCCCCACCCCGTGGCTAATACTGTGCTCTACAGCTAAAGCTAACACAAACTAACATGACTAGCTAATAAAGCAAAGCTTCAAAACTATCATCTTCAACATTTAACAAAGCTTTGCTAACATTATGTGTTTGCCACAGTCGCAGAGCAATCAAAGGAGCTAAGTAGTTTGATAGAAAATATGTTCTATCTGTGACCAATAGAGGAATGTCTTGCTGGTGGGGAACCTTTGCTACTGTACACATAACACCTAAACACACTAGTGTGAGCCACACACAGAGAGCACTGCAGCCCTATCCTTTAACATGGCCTCTCTTGCTCCCTGCAGTGTGTTTAAGTGCCTGTCTGGGTGGGGGTGTATGGGACAGGGTTTTCCCTGCACCTATGTAACCTTGTGTGTGCTGAGGTTAAGGTTGTTATTTGTATGTTATATTGTCAACCAGGTGATGAGTTGGGAAAGGCCAGGATGCCAAAATCTTTCAATGAGTAAGTACAGGATAAAAACTATCCTAACTTTTACAGATAAAAATTGCCTCAGAAACACTAGATACCCTTGATTGCCCTACTCTCACTGTTTAGTAATTGCTCTCATTTTCACATCTCTTTCTCTCCCTCCCCCCCACCTTTCTCTATCCATCCCTCTTCTGTCTCTCAGCAGTAGACCTGCTCTCAATAATGACCTTCTCTCACTGGATCCGTTCGGCCCTGCCCACACCCTGGGAGGCTCCTCCTCCTCAGTGTCTTCATCAACAGGTAAGCCCTGCTCACCAAGCTTAACAGAGTGTTTCAATGTATTCCTATGGGTGGCTAGGCGAGTTCGGTGGCAACCATGATGGGGTTCTGTCTGGATGATTTGAACTCTATATAAACGGCTTTGGTTTTTACTATTACCTCAAACTACTACTGATACAGACATGACCTCACATAGCTCCACAGGCAGGCCAGGTAGTCCCCTGCACAGCTCAACAACAGTAGTAAGCTCCTACTGTATTCACAGTACACATTGACACCAAAGGAGATTGTATTTGATTACATTGAGACACTATCACGTATGTCTGTTTTTAATTTGTGGGACTGTTTAGGAACAGATTTCCTAACTCCAACCCATTTTTCGCTGAATTCCTGGTGATTTTAATCGTATTCTTTTTTTTTTACCTCCAATTCTTTTTTTTTTTTACTGAGCTTTGGGGGGTCAAAGAAATGACTTGCGGCCTGGTTTTGGGTCCTCACTCACAACCTAAACTGAACTTGTGTGTCTGTGTCACTGCCTGGGTGGAAGAGAAAATGTTTTGTTTATGTATTGTTGTTTATTGTTTATATGACTTTCCAATAGGTCATGTCACCTTGGTTTTGCTTCTTAAAAAAAAAAAACAGTTTGACTTAAATTGTCATATGGGGAGGTTTTGCCCATTTATTTTATTTACAGTTTATTTCATTTTACAGTTTTGTTGTTCAATTAACTGTCTATTTCAAGCTTTGTTTGTTTGTTTTATTTGATGAGAAATTATTGTTACAGTTTTGATTAGCATGCATTTGGCTGTCTTCAAATGTAAGTGCAGCCCCACACCCCCCTCCCCCCACCACACGTGTGTTTACTTTATTTTTCATTTCCTTTACGTCCCTCTTTTTCTCTTTCACACTGTCCTGCCTCTCACTCCAGTACAGATATGTGAGAAGCTGGTTTTAGTGGCAAGGTTTATGTAGTGTGGAGTCTCAAAGCTGTGCGTGTCTGTGTGACTGACTGTGTGTGTGTGTGTTGAAATAGTGACGTTAGCGCTGACCCATTGCATGGGCTAATTGTAATCCACAGGTAATTGGTACCAAGTTTGGGTCACAGGGTTGGCGATAAGGCCCACTGGCACGTATGTTGTCAATCACTATCTCGTTATTGTCAAAAGTTCAGTCTTAAAAGCCAAAAGAGCAGCGTAAAGTGCCCAGGTTAGGATACTGGGATGACTCTTAAGTCCTTTAAAGACCTGTTTTAAACTCTCTGTGTACAATAGAGGCATTACCAGGCCTTAATATACACGCACAACACATTCATCTAGCCCTGACTGAACTGCAAATTTTTTTTGCTTTGGAGTCAGTCATTTGGCAAGCCTGAAAGAGATGATTAGGCTATAGTTTTTTTATTTGATTATGTAGGGCTTTCTTACTTTTGACTTTGTTTTTTTGCATTTAGTTATTTTTGCCGCATCTTTGTGGTCTGAGTTTGGTTTAGATGCTTTGTTGTTTTTCTATCTCTGTGTGTTAACCCGCCTCCTTCTCCTCCAGACATCGACTCTCTTTTCCTCTCCATTCCTCTATCTCCTCTACACATTAACGAGTCCCCTGTCTTTCTGCCAGGGGAGGCAGGTAAAATGTGTTTGTCCTAGCTGCACCTATTTAGGCCAGTGTTTTCTGTGCGGTTGCGCTGTACTGAATCGGTTTCCAACTATCTAACCTCACTTACAAAAAGCCTTGACATTGCATCCAACGTTTGATTCAGTTGCTTGTTGTTGTTGTTGTTGTTGTTTGTGGTGTTTGCTTATTTTTCTCCAATGTTTGTTTGCTCCAATTTTCTCCAATCCACTGTTTTATTGTAGGATTTCAGAGGGGCTGTTAGTTGTAGTTGTGTATACTTTGTTCAACCAATCCAATGAGGAAGATGGATAACTGAATTAGTGTTGGATTGAGAGCCCTGCTAAGCTTTGATAAGCTGAGAGCGCTGTGTGGCTCTGCGTGTCTGCATGGTGTGAGGACCTAACACTCCATGTCGGAGTAGCTGATATCCTCTCAACCAGCTGTAATCCTCTAACACTATTTATTACCAGTTAAGACTGAAACATGCCAGGTATTCATTCCTCCTCACATTGCCTAATGTTGCACAGAGATTGCATATGATTGCAGTTCACAGTTCACTAGAACTAAACCTGCCTGTCCCATAGATGGAAACTATTTTAATTATAGTAATCTCTAGATGGGAATCCCCAAGCCTTCTGAGTGAAAGTACCACTTGATTGTGACTACAGTATTAGTTTGTTCAGTATAATGCAGAATAAACAGAATAACTGATCAATTCATATATAAATTCATATAATGTTTTACTTGTTCTGTGGCATTCCAAATATGTAAAGATGTTTGCATGAGTATCTTTGTAAACGTTAGCTGGTATGGTTCCTCCTCCTTACTCTGTGGTATAGGTTTATCACTCTGCCCTGCCCTGGACTATCTGGCGCCCTCTACAGCTGAGGTGGTGTTACAGCGGGAGCTCTCTTCTCCCCCACTGGCAGACAGCCTGCAGCAGGCCAAAGGAGAGGTCACCCCTCTACCTTCCTCCACCACCACTACCACCACCACCTTCTCTCCATGGAACTCACCAGCCGACCCCTTTCTGGCCCTAAAGCCCATCCCAGCACGGGCCCAGAGCGCCCCCATCACCCGGCAGGAAGAGCCCATAGACGCCCAGGATCCAACCCCAGTCCCCACAGGCCCAGACCCAACAAGTGTGCCTCAGGGAAAGGACCAGTCTGCCTTCTCCTGGTCCCAGAGCCAGTGGATCGCCTTCAACGACGACTTTGTGCCAGTCAGACGCCAGCAGAGCTGCGGTCCGGGTACAGGTCTGGTCAACCGCGACCGGACCCAGTCTAACCCTCCTATCGGCAGGCCTCAGTCTTGCCGGTCCATCTGTTTCTTCTCTGATGACCCCGCTGACCCCTATAATAAGATGGCGCTGAGCAGTGGGGTTGGGGAGGACAGCGCCTCCTCTGTCTCTGAGGTCTTTTCAGCACTGACAGAGGGGATGGTGGCAGCTAGCCAAATACACAACGGTAACCTCTAGCATGGCATAAACTGAGATCTTTTTTTTTTGACTGAGTGAAGTGTGAAGTTTTGCCTTTGCCATTTTTCTCTTTTGTTCTACTTTTTAAAACCGTTTTTTCAGTTTCCACCTTTTATAAATATTATTTTATTTCGACCTTATTTACAATATGTTGTGTTGATTCATGTATTTTTTATTTAATGTGTGTTTTGTTTTTGTTTTGAGGGGCATATGCTTGTTTGCCTTAGAGAATTGTTAACACAAAGTTTTGTGAGTGATCTGAGTTTTGTTCTGTATGCATTTTATGCTTTGGAATTTGTGCATGTCGTGACTTCTGTGTTGGTGCATGGTTTTGCATTACTTTGAGTTACTCAGTGATGTCTAAAAAGTTTAAAGTGTATTACATAGTGCAGCATGGTGTTACCTCATCATACCCTGGATTCTTACTGTAAGTCCTTTCATTTTTGTCTGATTGACCCCCCCCCTTCCCTGCAGTGCCTGCCCTGGCCAGACCCACTACCCCTCAAACTGGTGCCATGGTGCCTCCTCCACGACCCTCTTCCCGACCCAAACTACCCACAGGAAAACTCACAGGAATCAATGAAATTGTGAGTACCTGCCCAGTATCAATCTCCACCAGAGCATCTGCTGACTATCTGATAGAGAATCTCCAGTATCATCACTAGACTTAAGATAACCTAGGAATCAGAGTATTAATTGGTGGAACCATTCTCTATTGATTAATGATAATGGACGACATTTATTTGGCGTTTTTGTTTACTCTTGCTTTGTACCCTGTATGGGGTTAATTTGTGGGATCCATTACCATTGGTTGATTTCTGGGTTTGTGCTGTCTAACCCACCAGGTGCGGCCGTTCAGCCCGCCCAAGACGTTGTCCAACGCCAGTCCTCCTCCGGCTGCTCCCCTGGCCCGGGCAGAGAGCTCCTCCTCCCTGTCCTCCACCGCCTCCCTCAGTGCCTCCAACACACCCACCGTGGGTAAGGAATAAGGATATGACCAAGCTCCATCACCTCGTCTCTCTACAGTCTACTCCTCTCTACTTCTCCTGTCATCTCCTCTTTACAGTCTACTCCTCTCCATCCCCCTCTTCTCCTTTCACCTCCTCCCCTCTCCCTCAATTCACATTTCTTTACTGCTTCCTCTCCTCCCTCCCGTCTCCCTTATATATTCTCTTTCCTTTTCTCCCCATATTCTCTGCTTGTTTCTTCTCCTCTCCTCCTCTTTTATATATTCCATTTCCTCCCTCTTATATTTCCTCTCCTCCTTCCTCTTAAATTTCCTTTCCTCTCCTCCTCTCTCGTATTCCCTTTCCTCTCCTCCTCTCTCGTATTCCCTTTCCTCTCCTCCTCTCTCGTATTCCCTTGCCTGCTCTCTCGTATTCCCTTGCCTCCTCTCTCGTATTTCCTTTCCTCCTCTCTCGTATTTCCTTTCCTCTCCTCCTCTCGTATTCGCTTTCCTCTCCTCCTCTCTCGTATTTCCTTTCCTCTCCTCCTCTCTCGTATTCCCTTGCCTCTCCTCCTCTCTCGTATTTCCTTTCCTCTCCTCATTATTCTTCCTTTCCTCTCCTCTCTCGTATTCACTTTCCTCTCCTCCTCTCTCGTATTTATTTTCCTCTCCTCCTCTCTCGTATTTCCTTTCCTCTCCTCCTTATTCTTTCCCTTACATGTTTTACATTTTAGTCATTTAGCAGACGCTCTTATCCAGAGCGACTTACAGGAGCAATTAGGGTTAAGTGCCTTGCTCAAGGGCACATCGACAGATTTTTCACCTAGTCTGCTCAGGGATTAGAACCAGCGACCTTTCGGTTACTGGCCCAACGCTCTTAACCACTAAGCTACCTGCCGCCCCTTCCTCTCCTCCTCTCTCGTATACCCTTTCCTCTCCTCCTCTCTCGTATTCCCTTTCGTATTCGCTTTCCTCTCCTCCTCTCTCGTATTCCCTTCCCTCTCCTCTCTCGTATTCGCTTTCCTCTCCTCCTCTCTCGTATTCCCTTTCCTCTCCTCCTCTCTCGTATTCCCTTTCCTCTCCTCCTCTCTCGTATTTCCTTTCCTCTCCTCCTCTCTCGTATTTCCTTTCCTCTCCTCGTATTTCCTTCCTTCTCCTCCTCTCTCGTATTCCCTTTCCTCTCCTCTCTCGTATTCGCTTTCCTCTCCCCCTCTCTCGTATTTCCTTTCCTCTCCTCCTCTCTCGTATTTCCTTTCCTCTCCTCCACTCTCGTATTTCCTTTCCTCTCCTCCTCTCTCGTATTTCCTTTCCTTTCCTCCTTATTCTTTCCTTTCCTCCCCATATTTTCTTCTTGTTTCTTCTCCTCCACTCTCACCTAAACCCACTTCTTGTCTTTAAACCTTATTGGGCTTCTCTCCTTCCCTCACTCCTCTCCTCCTCACAGGGCCTGAGCGTATCTTTCGTCCCTCCCTCTCCTCTCCGGAACCAGAGTTCCTCCTTTCTCCCTGTCCTCTGTTTCTCCTCAGCCAAAGTGAGTCTCCTCTCTTCCTCCTCCTCCCTCTACTGTAGTGTTTTCCAACTAGGGGTACTAGAACCCCTGGGGGTACTGGGCCTATCCACAGGGGGTACTTGAGAAGACTAATTAGACCATAGGCCTACTGGTAAAATGCACATGATGGGGTACTTCAGGGGTACTCCGGGCAGAGCAAAATTCAGTTAGTGGTACAGTAACCGAAAAAGGTTTTATTGTCACATACACTGGATAGGTGTAGTGAATGGTGTTGTTTTACAGGGTTAAGTGCCTTGCTCAATGGCACATCAACAGATTTTTTACCTTGACGGCTCGGGTATTTGAACCAGCAACCTTTCGGTTACTGGCCCAACGCTCTAACCGCTAGGTTACCTGCCGCCCAGTGGGAACCACTGCTCTACTGTTCTGTCACTTTCACTCTGTGAAGCCTACTACACAGTGTTTCTTTAGGGTTTCTCACCATTCTAATCTCACACAAATGCTCACATTCACACCCAGGTGTTTTAGTTGAGAGCCCATTGCCTTGTACCATCTCACCTGCCAGTACCATGAACCTCACCTCACTGCTTTCTGTGGCTTTTTGGTTTCTTTCCTATTTTTTTTTTCTTTTGTTGGGCCCTTAAAGAGGATGATGGTTTCATCGGGAAGCTGCCCACCTTTGAGAAGCGCTGTGAAACGCCTGCAGGTAGGGTGTGTGGTAAACCAGCCCGGACAAGCCTCTATTTGTGACATACTAACTACGGCCACTCGGATTGGCTGACTGCTCGCCAATGTCTGCCTGCTCATGAAAAATGTCTCTCTTCTTAACGTGTCTGTCTGTCAGCGTGATCAACATAATAAAGAGTTCAGCATAGTCGTGTTCTGTTTAAAAACAAATAACAAGTTTGAAGGTAGGAAGTTCATTACAGTATTATAACGTTCTTACTCAAAGAATCCCAAAGAGTAATTCATTAAAATGATGAATAGTAACCTGACTCAATAATACCTCGTCTTTTATTCAAACAAAATGTAATTCCTAGAGAGGTATGATTATTTTGGCATGTAATGCCTTGGATATTTTGAAATGTAATTGTTCCTCTTTTCCTCCATAATGACTGACCTTATTTGGTAAATGAACTATGTTCTTCAGGTGTTGTTTTTTGCATGAATAAGTATGATGCTTTTGATGTCAAAGTTGAATTGAATTGTACACTTCAGTAATAATAACAGTACACTCATTCGATCACGCTTTGTCTTTCTCTCTCTTCCTCTCTACCTGTCCCTCTTTACCTCCCTCTCTCTCTACCTCACACCATTTCTCCACCCCCCTCTTCATTCCCTCCCTCCCTCTATCAGGGACATCTCGCGGTCCCAGCCCAGTGACCCTGGCGTCCCAGGATGCCTTGCCCATCGCTGTGGCCTTCACAGAGTCTGTTAATGCCTACTTCAAAGGAGCTGATCCCACTAAGTGAGTCTCACATGACCTCCTACAGCTCAGAGAGCTGGCCCCAGCCTGGGTCTAACACACACAGCACGCAAGCCAACATACGCACTCACACTGCATGCACGCAGACACACACACACACACACACACACACACACACACACACATATACCACTACACAGACACACACACCATGATCAGCCATTGGGGCATACACTGAGTGTATAAAACATTAGGAACACCTTCCTAATATTGAGTTGCACCCCTTTTGCCCTCAGAACAGCCTCAATTTGTCGGGGCATGGACTCTACACCTGTCAAGTGTTTCCAAAGTGATGCTGGCCCATGTTGACTCCAATGCTTCCCACAGTTGTGTCAAGTTGGCTGGATGTCCTTTGGGTGGTGGACCATTCTTGATACAAATGGGAAACTGTTGAGCGTGAAAAACCCAGCAGTGTTACATTTCTTGACACACTCAAACTGGTGCGCCTGGCACCTACTACCATACCCCGTTCAAAGGCACTTAAATATTTTGTCTTTCCCATTCATCCTCTGAATGGCACACATACACAATCCATGTCTCAATTGTTTCAAGGCTTAAAAATCCACTGATTTGAAGTGGATTTAACAAGTTACATTAATAAGGCATCATAGCTTTCACCTGGATTTACCTGGTCAGTCTATGATATGGAAAGAGCCATTCTTAATGTTTTGTACACTCCGTGTATACTGCTGCATACTGCTATTCAACTCGTCCATACACATAATATGCATTTTAATTTACCGGACATTTAAGAAATGTACCGAATCCATGTGCATTGGGTGAGTAACCTGATTAGCACGTCCAGCCACAGTGCTCAGAATGACAGAAATCACATTTAGTTTATGGTAATTCATCTTAACAGAACATGCAACTCAAGGATGCAACGGCGTGCGTCCTGCTTATCAATTTCCAAAGTGCAATTTGAAGATGTTAGAAGAACTGTCCACATTTACTTTTCTTCAGCCAACAAGATGAGTAACGAACAGCAAAATCACTAGCCTATGTACTTATTCTATTGGTCAGCTTGTCATTCTGTGCGAGAAAGAAAGAAATAGCCTATTCCAAACAGACTCTGGGACAGTTGTGGGACGATAGATCCCAAATTCATACAACTAGTAGGCCAAGGCAACATCCAAAAATCTTTAGAGGCTACGCGCGAATGTTCGTTCCATATTGCAATTCGCGGGAAAATACATTGTCAAAAGTACACCGCACATGTGAGAAGGATATGAAAATATCCGTGAGAAATGTAGAAAGAGTGGGAGATCTAAAGATGCAACAACTAGCATGGGTTACAAATATGGCTAGGATTGTGCTTTTGGCTACTGGCAAATTAAATACATTTGATTTGAAAACCAATAGAACATGAGAGATAGGCTACTTGTTTCAATGGCGTGTGAAAGTCTTTATAAAATAATTTGGTTGGATTTTGGCTAGGCTACTTTGAAGCAAGGTAAGAAATGCCACATAATATGTAGAAAACATTCAGGTTTCAAACAATTAAGAATATGTTTTCAAAATGCATTCTGTCTCCAGCTCATTGCAAAGTGGTGTGTGGTGTGCTGAAGCCTGCCTAGTTGCCTATGCACTTGAATGGGAAGCACACTTCAATTACCAGAAATAAAAATAGTCACTATTTGTAATCGCGGCCATTGTTTTTAACACGTGATTGCATTTAGTATTGTTGCACAGTGATTGGGCTTATAAAAGCACGTTTCACTCCAGCTGCAACTGACAGCTGTTTGATGAGCTGTAGCAGCAGTTCTCGTGCTACATCAACTGGTATTTCAATCAATGAATAGGCTGAATTTTTATTTCCTCTCCTGGACAATCGTCCGGCACCAATTTTTTAGCTTTTTTTGCCAAAAGCCAGCTATTAGCGTCTAACGGAAACCCTGGTGTGTGCGCGCGTGTTTTTGGCCGCGTGTGTGCGCGTGTCTGCTTGTGTGGAATGTTTTAGATTTTGGTAGGCCGACACCATTCTTTCAGAGTGGATAACCCACACGGGGCAGATTATAGTCTGGGGCAGAGAAAACATACACCCTTTTATTGGTTAACTGCTGTTAAATTGCTGCTGTGCAAAAGGTTTATTTTGGCAGGGATTAGCGAATGGAACATTTCATAAGCATTGCAGCGGACACACAGGGCAGGGTTAAGGCTTGCACATGGACCACACTGCAGCAGACTGGGAAGGGGTTAGACTAGTGGGCCTTGTTTAGATTTGGACTGAGGTAGCCTTGGACTGGGTCTAATTTAGACTTGGGGCTCTATTCAATAGATAGAAATGTAAAGGTAATTTCTGATTGAGTCGATATGGATTTAATAGAGCTCTTGGACTGAGTTGAACTGGGTCTAATTTAGATTTGGACTGAGTTGTATTCGGATTTAGACCAGTGGATTAACTAAAACTGAGACTGTGTGAACTGCTTCAGACTAGAACTCCATTAAACAGGTACTGTGGTAGACTGGACTAGTGGACAGAGGCTTAACCCTTTGTCTGCTGCTGTGCCCCTCAGCTGCATAGTGAATAGCACAGGTTTAACCCTTAATGTGCTGTCTCTCCTTTTACTCTAGGTGCATAGTGAAGATCACAGGTGACATGACCCTGTCCTTCCCCATGGGTATCACCAAGGTGTTCACCAGTAACCCCTCCCCTGCCGTGCTCACCTTCAAACTGAAGAACACCTCCAAGCTGGAACAGATCCTCCCCAACCAGACACTACTGTTCAGGTGAGTGGAGAAATTCAAATGTTCAGATAATGTTTTATTCACAGTTGAATGGTTAAACATTCAGACAACGTTTGAATTAACCTGATGGATGTGTAGTTACCATACAGGTGTGTAGGACCACAGAGAAACATTTAGCTAATGATTAGTACTTATTCTATATCAGTAAAGACCACATTCCAATACAACGGTGTGTGTGTAAAGAACCAAAGGAAGTCTGTAACACTGTTTGAACACCAAACTGGAGCATGTCAGTCTATCAGGGAGCCAGCCAGTAGAGAGAGGGGTGTTGAGGGGATGAGGGGGGCAGGGCGGGGGATGAGGGGATATTGGGTGGGGGGGGTGGGGTGATGAGGGGAAATTGTGTGTGGAGTGTGTCGTTGAGGGGAAATTGGATTTCATCAGTCATAAAGCTATCATTATCCTGACAGGGAACTATTTTCCACCATTCCTCCTCAGACATCAGTTTCTTAACATGCCATGTCTAGAAGAGTGTCGCATCAACTTTCAACAAGATATCACCTCATTCCACACACACTATCACCTCTCAGTTAAAGCTTCTTGTTGTGTTTTCTCCGGCATAGCCACCATGTATCTAGCCATATCCAACTTATTTAGCAGTGAATCGTCAGTGTTAAAGTTTGAGACCGCCACCTGAGTTACAGAGTCTCTTTGAAGATTCCTTTCTTCCCCAAAAGGAGAAGTATTTTCTACCCTCTCTTTTCTTTCTCTCCTTCTCACTCTGCTTTCTCTGGGTAACCCTGAGACCACATAGCTGGTCTAATTGAATCAAATGGAATTCATGATTTAATAGCTGGGAGGCAATAAAAGGGTCATTCTTTCCGAGCTATTGGAGCTCTGCACACACACACACAGAGCCACCGAGTAGAGCAATGAATAATTGAGTTATCGTTTTCCGTGTGTGTGTGTGTGTGTGATCCAGTGATTCCTCGCAAAGTGATGCAAATACCAAGGACTTTTGGTTCAACATGCAAGCTCTCACATCCTACCTCAGGAAAGCCTCAGAGCAGAACCCTGCTGCGTCCTACTACAACGTTGACATCCTCAAATACCAGGTTGGTCCCAGACTAAACTAAATACTCTTTAGTAAACTGTATACTCCTATACTATACTGTGACGAGGTGTGAAAGAAGGAGTCAGGCACAGGAGGTAAAATACCGAAGTCCAGAGTTTAAACCGTTTGCATAAATCAAACGCCCCAAGCGTCAAACGAAACTGTACAAGGGAAAACATCCACCTTGGCAATAACACAGTGAAATGTAGCTCAACCGAGCTACACGCTCTCACAACAAAACAATCACTCACAAAGACAACGGGAACAGAGGGAACACTTATACACATAGTAATTAGGGGAATGAGCACCAGGTGTGTGTGATTGACAAGACATGACAAGTGGAGTGATGAGAATGAGAATGGGATCGGCAGTAGCTAGTACTCCGGTGACGAGGAACGCCAAAGCCTGCCCGAACCAGGAGGGGGGGCAGCCTCGGTGGAAGTCGTGACATATACACTCACTCTTGTAGTAATAATGCAAAAGTCCAGAAGTAAAATGTGTTTGACTCCAAATATAACACGTTTATTACCATCACTTTTGTGTTTGTAAATGTATTTATTTCACACATTGTGAAGGTATTAATTGTTTTTTGTATCATATCTTATTTTCAATCATATGATCTTTGCCCTTTACCCTCTGACCTCATGCTGTGTCCCTGTGTGTGCAAGTGTTCTCTAAAGGAATTGCATCAACCCCTCTGAATCTGGCAGTGTACTGGAAGTGTGACCCCGCCACGCTGATCTGACCTCTGACCTGTGTCCCTCTGTCTAGGTGTCCTCTAATGGGATCCAGTCGACCCCTCTGAACCTGGCAGTGTACTGGAAGTGTGACCCCGCTACCACTGACCTGAGGCTGGACTACCGCTACAACCCAGAGTCCATGCTCTGCCCCGGCCCTCTCTCCAATGTACAGGTTCTAGTGCCTGTAGATGGAGGGGTCACCAACATGCAGTCCCTGCCTAATGCTATCTGGTGAGAGAAACGAACAGAGAACATGTGGACAGCAGTACTTTAGTTATTGATGCTTTGATTGATTGATTGATTCGTATTGACTGATTTGATATTGATTGATTTTCCATTACAAAAACAAACCACAACAGTCAAGACAGCATAGTACTGGCATCACCTGTGAGCATGATTAATGTTGTATTGTACATATCGCTAGCAGTGAATGTGTTTTCTAGTTGTGTGTCTGTAGTAATAGTGTATCTATGGTTTTCATGTCTCTACGACAGTGGTAGTACAACTACTTGTGTAAGCTACATATTCACGTCTTCTTTAATCTCTTTCCACCAGGAACTCTGAGCTGAATAAGTCTCTCTGGAAGCTGAGTGATATCTCTGAGAAGTCTGATAATGAAGGCTCAGGGTCTCTGAGGGCTAAGTTTGAGCTCTCGGACGGCCCATCCACCCCAACCACCCTGGCTGTGCAGTTTATGAGTGAGGGGAGCACGCTGTCTGGGGTGGACATAGAGCTGTTGGGAACCGGGTACAGGCTGTCCCTCAACAAGAAGAGGTTTGCCACAGGTACGTATAGGACCAAGACCTAGACTCAAAATCTGACAACTGATGAAGGCTTCTGCAGCTGAAACATATGGGTGCAGGAATAAAGCAGAGCAGTATAAACCGTGAATGGGGTTTCTTTTTCCCTACTCGCCACATAATCTGTTGTTACCTATGTAGACGTGATGAGCTACAGGTAATACATACTAACTTGTCACCTGTTTATGTTGTTTCAATGTTCATGTTGTGACTTGAGGTGAAGAGACTTTTCCCTTTTGGTTAGTCAAATGTGAATGATGTGGTCTATATTGTTGTCTAACCTGAGTGGTCCATGTTTGTGTTGTTCCTTCTCCTAGGTCGTTACATGGCAGACTGTTGAGTAGGCACACCGTCCTTGACCCCCAAGCACAATGACTCTATTGAACATTTATTTTCAAAACTTTAGTCCCTTTTGTCCTATTTATGAAAGGGGAGGGTTAGAGGGGAGAGGTGCAGCGAATACAACGTTTTTTTGTGACACATCTAGACACTTTACATTATGTCCCAATGTACCTTGTCTGTCTCGAGAAGAGAGCTTCTTAGTACAGTAAAGCAGCACTGAGTATTGATCACTGTTTAAAAAAGAAAATAAATAGAAGAAAAAACTAAGTTGGGCTGTCAGGAAATGTAAATGTATAGATATTGAGAAGTGTAATGCTTTCTGATCAATTCAGACTTTTATAAAGTCAGAACCGTAGTGTTTCGTTATGTAACAATGTATGGATTATATATAAATACATATTATATCGAAAAAAGAAAAAAAATGGAAAAAAATCTGCACTAACAATCTTTCCGTCCATTTAAAAAATATATTTGTTCTCTCCTTTGTAAATTGGGTATGTGTATTCCACTGAAGCTCTTGTAGTAACAAAGATTCTGGGTAAAACAGTGAGAAAAGAGAAGATGTGAGAGGAGAGGAAATGCCACACTTTCCTCCCTCATCCCCCTCTCCTCTTCTCCATTGCAAGTACGATTGCAGATTATTTTACTTTGTGAGACTCGAGTTCTGTTTTTTGCTGATGTATCTTTTTTCCTGGGTTATTTTTATTCTGATCATGTGCAATGAAGAAATTAAGGTATAAGCTGTCTTTTTTTAAACTAAACAGATTCTCTCAAAAGTTCTCATAGCACAACATTTAATCAGTTGTCCTGTCGCTTCTGACAACTGGTAATAACACAAGGTCAGCGCTCTTTTAAAAGCAAAAAAAAACAATACTTAACTGACCTCAGTGCCTCTTTCTTTCTGTGGATAAATTCATTGAAAAACGTACCTATGTTTTCTCTATACCCTTTTGTATGTTAAAAAAGCACCGCTAACTAAAGAAAACACCAATCTTGTGCCAGTTGTTGTTTTATAATCTTGTTTTCGGATGTTGAAGGGAAAATGCTTCCAGTTTCTACACCAGTCAAACCTAAAGGTATCTGACTTCCAGAAACCACTGATCCAGTGGACTCACTGTCTCAGTTCTGTGTCTTTGCTATGATGTCATCTTTTTAAGTATTTTCTACTGGGGTATTTTTTCTATCTTTGATCAGAGTGAGATCTTTGTTCCCAAACTGCCTTCGGTCTATTTGAGAGCACTGGACAGCCTGTTAGCCAAGCATCTTAATCATAATCAGGCCAAATCAATTCTAGAAATGCCTTAAGAAAATATACCTTGTCATCTGTTGATGATGGTAATAAGATGCTACCCAGTTGTAATAGGCTACATTACTGCCATGTTTGCCTGTGTGGAGAGAGACAGACAACAGTTCTTAGTGCTGACTCGATTTCGTACTGAGTGGTTCATTCTTGCCTTATATACCAATGGAGGACCAGTATCTAGAAGGGCTACATCTCCTAGATGGAGAGAGATGCATACACCTTATGTATCACTTCTATCAATATCACAAGCGCATGTTTTTGTAAGCCTTTTTCATCCAATGCCTTCTCCCCAAAACTGCAGTTTTGACAGTATAGATAATGATCAGAGTACTGTATTTTCATTACAAACATTGATATGGGCACACCAGTAACACTGTGATTGTGGACTGTTAGTGTTCCATCATGAATGTGTCCATCTGACCACCATATGCTTGTTAACTCCTGGCCCGTATCCACAAAGGATCTCCGAGTAGGAGTGCTGATCTAGGATCTGGCCATATAATATGATCAATTATGATCTAAAAGACAACTGATCCTATATCGGCACTCTTACTCTGAGACGCTTTGTGGATACGGACCCTGGTATTTGGTACAGTTGATACTGTTAACGTTCTCTCTGCTTCTGAAATGGCACCCTATGCCCTACAGTCTATAGTGCAATACTTTTGATCAATAATAGTGCACTATGGAATAGGGTTCCGTTTCAGAGGCACTATGTGTAGATATGGTTAATCGCATCGCTTACTAGTAAACGTGTGATCCGACCTAACCTCAAGATAGAAGTGTTCAGCTCAACAACATGCATTTTTGAAGTCATCATGTGTAAAATAGGATTTGTTTTGTATACAGTACAATAAGTCATGATTATGTTTTGAAAGACATGGATTAATCATCACTGTTTTAATTATTGGTCAATTTTTATTTGTATGTACAATGTTTTTAAGGATGATATTTGTTTAAGATACAGTTTAAGACTCCACTTTCAGTATAATTGTAGCGGCAGATACGATCTTTAGTTGGATGGGGGGTAAAATTATACACAAAGAATCTCTTCCAGAACACTATATATGTCCCAACCAAATGATGTGTGGCTATCCGAATGAATTTGGAGTTTACTAAACTAAAGCGTTATCTTGCAAAACAAACTGTAGCATATTAGGAATGTTTAAAGAGAGGAACAACATATAAAAATCTGGATTTTTTTGAATGGAGTTCTTCTTTTAAATATCATGTCAACAGCACAGGCTACTCTCGATTCACCCACTTTGATCAGAGAAACCCCCACACAGAAACGGAATATACACTACCGTTCAAAAGTTTTGGGTCACTTAGAAATGTCTTTGTTTTCCATGAAAACATACATGAAATGAGTTTGAATAGGAAATATAGAAATGTAGTCATTGACAAGGTTAGAAATAATGATTTTTAATATAAATAATAATTGTGTCCTTCAAACTTAGCTTTCGTCAAAGAATCCTCCATTTGCAGCAATTACAGCCTTGCAGACCTTTGGCGTTCTAGTTGTCAATTTGTTGAGGTAATCTGAAGAGATTTCACCCCATGCTCCCTGAAGCACCTCCCACAAGTTGGATTGGCTTGATGGGCACTTCTTACGTACCATACGGTCAAGCTGCTCCCACAACAGCTCAATAGGGTTGAGATCCGGTGACTGTGCTGGCCACTCCATTATAGACAGAATACCAGCTGACTGCTTCTTCTCTAAATAGTTATTGCATAGTTTGGAGCTAAGCTTTGGGTCATTGTCCTGTTGTAGGAGGAAATTGGCTCCAATCAAGCGCCGTCCACAGGGTATGGCATGGCGTTGCAAAATGGAGTGATAGCCTTCCTTCTTCAAGATCCCTTTTTCCCTGTACAAATATCCCACTTTACCACCACCAAAGCACCCCCAGACCATCACATTGCCTCCACCATGCTTGACAGATGGCATCAAGCACTCCTCCAGCATCTTTTCATTTGGTCTGCGTCTCACAAATGTTATTCTTTGTGATTCGAACACCTCAAACTTCGATTCGTCTGTCCATAACACTTTTTTCAAATCTTCCTCTGTCCAGTGTCTGTGTTATTTTGCCCATCTTCATCTTTTCTTTTTATTGGCCAGTCTAAGATATGGCTTTCTCTTTCCAACTCAGCCTAGAAGGTCAGCATCCCGGAGTCGCCTCTTCACTGTTGACATTGAGACTGGTGTTTTGCGGGTACTATTTAATGAAGCTGCCAGTTGAGGACCTGTGAGGCGTCTGTTTCTCAAACTAGACACTCTAATGTATTTGGCCTCCCACTCCTCTTTCTATTCTGGTTAGAGCCAGTTTGCGCTGTTCTGTGAAGGGAGTAGTACACAGCGTTGTACGAGATCTTCAGTTTCTTGGCAATTTCTCGCATGGAATAGCCTTCATTTCTCAGAACAAGAATAGACTGACGAGTTTCAGAAGAAAGTTATTTGTTTCTGGCCATTTTGAGCCTGTAATCGAACCCACAATTGCTGATGCTCCAGATACTCAACTAGTCTCAAGAAGGCCAGTTTTATTGCTTCTTAATCAGCACAAACGTTTTCAGCTGTGTCAACATAATTGCAAAAGGATTTTCTAATGATCAATTAGTCTTTTAAAATGATAAAGCTTTGATTAGCAAACTCAGAGTATCATTGGAACACAGGACTGATGGTTGCTGATAATGGGCCTCTGTATGCCTATGTAGATATTCCATTAAAAATCAGCTGTTTCCAGGTACAATAGCCATTTACAACATTTAACAATGTCTACACCGTATTTCTGATCAATTTGATGTTATTTTAATGGACAATTTTTTTTGCTTTTCTTTCAAAAACAAGGACATTTCTAAGTGAACCCAAACTTTTGAATGGTAGTGTATATGCAAAGTATATTTAGCGAGCTGGTTCTTGCTGTCTCTACATAACATCCAGTGATTTTTGTTATTGGAGCTTGTCATTATGATAATTTTTCTTTGTTTGTATGTATGTCTATGTCAAAATGATAGTTTAAAAAAAAGCAAATTATGTGTAAATGATTTCTCATAAAATGTAAAAATTTTACAAATATCTCAGCCACTTTTTTTCTGTTCACTTTATGATCGATCTCAATGTGCCTGTATTAAATGTATAATATATGACTATATACCTATATATAAAAATGACTACTTAAAATGGTGTCTCCTGTATGTTTTTCTGTCCTGTTTGTTTTTTCTTACTGTGCACCTGTGTGAATCATGATGATGTATTATAGGACTTGTCAAGGGGAGATCATTCAGAGATCACTATCATGGCTTATCAATTTTCAGACATGAACCCTATATCAACTAAAGGTCAGTTTATGGCTCCAAATTTAGGCCACTATGTACAAGATCGATCTGTAAGGGACACACTTGCATAGCGTTGCGTTTTAAAAGATTGAGGTCAATTTCTGTGTTGAAAGTATTGATTTAGGCCTGATTTTGTTTGGGGACTACAACAAGCCCAAACTCTGAAGGGAAAACCTATTGTCCGTGCCGAGGCTGAGGAGACTGTTACAGTAGTATGAACCCTGTGTTACAGTAGTATGAACCCTGTGTTACAGCAGTATGAACCCTGTGTTACAGCAGTATGAACCCTGTGTTACAGCAGTATGAACCCTGTGTTACAGCAGTATGAACCCTGTGTTACAGCAGTATGAACCCTGTGTTACAGCAGTATGAACCCTGTGTTACAGCAGTATGAACCCTGTGTTACAGCAGTGCAGTCAGAGCAATTTTGCTTCAATAACAAACCCAAGTGGAGAGTTTTACCTATTGACCTCCGAGACCTCATTATATTCAACTGACTGGCTTTTGCCTCTACACTCCCGTCCCGGCTTCATTCAGCCCCACAAAGAGATACGCTAACTCCTTCAGAGTTAAGTCAACAAATGACAGGACAGGTTACGGTTAGGATGACTATATTCTCTGAGTTGTGTGATTTTTTTGCATAGGGGAAAGGACTTGGAGTGGTGTAAATAGGAGAACCTGGTAGACTCACTGCGCATATGAACGTTCCTGGCTGAGTTAGTTTTTCTTCAGGCAGGCTGAGGTGGTCTTCTGAGACTAACAACACATCAGATTAATTTAGTATGAGCACACTTGTACACCTTTAGCCTCGTTTATTCAGATAAAATGTTTTCAATCTTGAGACATAATTCGGATTGAATAATCAACATACTGGTACTGTGTGTGTGTGTATGCATTGCTTAATTTTCCTCAATGTCTGACCATTTTGTTTCATTATGTTCCATACGGCCACTGTCTACAGTACTGTCTTCATCAAGATGTATCATTCTGAACATTTCATAAAGAGGGCATTGAAGCTATTTCACACGTGATGTAGTGTATAACCAGTGACGAGGGAGAGAATGTGTCGCGGGAGAGTAGACGAGAGCGTCAGGCTTTGAGGCTGAGGTAATGGCGTGTGTGTGTGTACTGGCACTACATCGCCTCCTTGTGCATATTTACACAGACAGTCATGCCTTATGTCACAGCTGCTCCACTTCCAGACCTCCTTGCTAATTAAAATAAAACTTCTCTGAGCCGCCCTGTCAGTCCACAGGCACATGTGAACCATCAGCGTGTACCCTTCCCCCTCTCCCCCTGTTCACCTCACTCAGACCTCTGGCTGTGGCGGGTGTGTGAACTGGGCATGGGCTCTGTGTGTGTGTGTGTGCGCAAGTTCAACATCATACTCCACTTTTTTGTGAATCTGTGTGGCTAATCCACTAACAGCGTTGACCTGGATGATCAGAGAATCTGGAGTTGATTGAGAGTGTCTTAAGAAGGTGGTGTAGGTTGAGAAAATAGATTTCAGGTATAGATGTATAGTGTACTCTTAGTCTATACTCCTGAAGGTCTGTGAATCTGGTATGCATTTAGAGGGTCTCTGTCTAGTCTGTAAGGATCTGTATCTGGTATAGATTGAGATTCAGTATAGTAAGTGTTCTGGACCTGTTAGTTATTTAGCACCCCCTGGTGGCAGTTTAAGTGCAGCAGTGTAGAGTTTACCTGTGTGTCATGTGACAGGAAGCAGTTTTAGAAGTGAAGCAATGTTTAAAATGTGCAAGTGTGACAGAGTAGTTACAATCCTTCAACATCCTTTATACGCTTTGTAAGACGCAATGTCTGTAAGTACATTTGTTTAACACAAGATAAATGTTTATCACATATCATTTTCATGTTTCTGTAAAAGATTAAGAATTGAGTTAGCTGTTAGCTACTTTGCATTAGCTTCAGTGCTATTTCTCCCTAGGGACACCTAGTTTAGCAATATCAAGCATACAGCTGCATTCTAGTAACTTTATTTTATATTTGACTCTAGATTGAGTACTCTTATTTCGTAAATGTATTTAGTGCAGTTATTGTGTAAGACATTCTGTGCTCTATGCTACTGTAACTGAAAACATACAGTTCACATTGTGATTCAAGTAAACTTCCAAAACGGCACCCTGCTTCACAGAGT